TAACAGGTGACCTGTAGGTCCTCTGTTGTTTGTGCTGGTTCGACGTTGATTCGTAGGATGGCGAATACGTCTTCTGGGTGAGCGGGAGGGTGTCTCTGGTAATAGCTGACGAGCTGTTGATGGGCGACGATCTGCGGGTTGGAACCTTCTGCGCGAACCCAGGAGCCGCCTCGAGGATAGATGGGAGTCCTTCTTGTGGTGGTGACGAAGCAACGGTCTGCTCGATCGTACTGGAGAAGGGGAGATCCTGTGAGGGCTGGTAGTCCCAAGGGAACCGGGTTTACTGCGTTGTTCGACGTGATGGTGGATGAGTTGTTCGACTAGGTGAAACTAGGAACGTAGCTTAGAAAGTTCGACCTTTTGATACAACGGTCTATACTCCTATATCGATGCCTGACTCGTAGATGACGAGCGAGGGCTTATGGACAGTGCGTCATCCTGAAGATCGAGTGAGGAAGTCGAGAATGACCACTACCCCAAGTGAAGAGGAGCAGAGACTTGAATGAATAACCAGGTCGAACTTAGGGTTCGACCGACTAATGGTACAACTACTTATACAAGTACCAACTGCGCACGGACCATCGTGTCTATGTGGTCGTGTTAGTGAAGAAAGAAACGTAGTGGTACGATACCAGGCACGAAGTGCGCACGGACCCCATTATGTAAGCTACATAATGTTCAACCTGCAGGTGAGCGCTAAGACAGGCGCCAGTATGGGCGCTAGTAGTACAAGGAATAGAACGGAAAGACAAATGTTTCAGTACCAACATGTCCTCCACCCTCCTGTTCCTCGACCAGTTCAATGCCCCCTCAACCGAGGGCAGAAAGAGGATTTCGATCTACACCCCTAAGCACACCCATGTCGGCGACAGCACTTTGCTGACGTTACTTCTCAGTAACCCCACCGACGTCTTCAATAAACTCAAAACCCATCACCCCGAGGCAACCAATGCCACTGACCGCGCTGCACTAGAAGCGTATCTCTCTGCCCGCCGCGAATACAATGAGGCTGTCAAGGCAGCCAACGAGGCCATCGACCACCACAAGCAGCTCCTACGTCAACAGGACAACTGTGTCCTCACCGAGCTCATTCGACTCGACAATCTGAAAGTTGCCCATCGCTTTCAACCGCTCCTACCGCACAGCATCCGGGCGCAACACAACAAATTCATCCTGCGCGCCATCCCCAACGCGTACTTACCCCTACCCGCACCCCTACCGACGTCTGCCTTCAGGCGCCCCCCGATCCCATCCCCTTTCCTCCAAGCAACGCCGCGGAGCACTACCATCCCGGCTGACTGGCAACCCAACCCTGGTTGGACCCCGAAGGGAAGCTGCAGGCGATGCGGATCGTCTCGACACTGGGTACGGGACTGTCCGGACGTACGATGCGCAGGATGCGGAAAAGAAGCCCCTGGACACCTGGAGCGAGAATGCGGAACCAGGCCGATGAAGCGACATGTATCCGCACCACCTGAAGAACCTGCGCGACGTGTGGGGGTGGTCGTCGACAACGTGTTCCTCGAGGAAATCATCAACGAGGCGAAGGAGAGGAAGGAGAAAGAGAGGCAGACGAAAGCGGTACCTATTCCTCCACCGCGCAGCGCTAACCCCGAACCCCCAACCAGTCCCATCGCGGGACCCTCGTGCCCCTGCCCCGATACACCCGTCGTCTTTCGCAAAGTCGACCCCGACTGGACACCCGACACCACTCAATGGACGTGGGACAGCTCCTGGCCGCATCAGAAGCACCTCTCTGGCGAGGAATGGATGAACATGGGGAGGAATGCGCGCAAGGAGTGGTTCGACGAAGAAAAGGATGATGGCGTCGATTGGGAGCTATACGGAAATGGTGAGCAGTAAGTAGTCGAATGGGACTTCGACTCTGGCAGGGGGGTAATGAAACATTTATCTTTCCATTCTATTTCTTGTACTACTAGCGCCCATACTGGCACCCGTCTTAGCGCTCACCCGCGGGTTGAACATTATGTAGCTTACATAATGGGGTCCATGCGCACTTCGTGCCTGGTATCGTACCACTACGTTTCCTTCTTTACTAACACGACCACACAGATACAGTGGTCCGTGCGTAGATGGTACTTGTATAAGTAGTTGTACCATTAGTCGGTCGAACCCTAAGTTCGACCTAGCTATTCATTCAAGTCTCTGCTCCTCTTCGCTTGGGGTAGTGGTCATTCTCGACTTCCTCGCTCGATCTTCAGGACAACGCACTGTCCATAAGCCCTTGCTCATTGCCTACGAGTCAGGCATCAATATAGGAGTATAGACCATTGTATCAGGTACAAGTCCAAGGAGCTCCCAGCCCAGGCTCCTTCCCACTGTCTTCGGGAGTTAGGAGGGCTTCATCTGACAGTGGTCCTCATAGCTAAATGCTAAGTACTGTATCTTGGAATAAATCTGATGCCACATATCACATGCACGTCATGTGAATATCATGTGTTTTCAAACTCCTCAATCATAATCCCCTCCAACTCCCTACGATGGCTGGCACAAAACATTGGTTAACAACCAGTGTTGGAAGGAGGGTCTCCCTGTTTAGGGTATTGGGCGCTCCATATGATACTACACTACTTACATAATATGCACGAGTCGCATGGTAAGGAGAGTGCATCGCGTTGGCATTGTGACACAGTGTGGTAAGAAAATTCTTGTCAATCAGCTATGCTTGACTTTGCTAAGACTTGCTCAATCCTGAACTTCTTTGCAACATTGCATGTCTCTGTATCTGAATTCCTGTTAACACTCCTGAGCCTCCGCAAGTTCAACTTTCATCCATGACTGCACGAACTCACTACAACCTTGGAGAATGTCGCGACTTGGGGTCAAGCGACAAGGACAAACAAACACGAAGGCTGGGGGTGTTTGACTGGGTCTCACTGAAGCGATGGTGAGCAACACTCAAACCTAAGGCTAGGGACAAGAATATATTAGTTAGTAAAGAAAAGGAAGTAAGTACATGAGAGCTTACTGACCTAGGGACAAGAGGTCAAAACTGAGGTCCCTAGGGCAGCAGAGGTAGGTTTATATACAGGGGAAGATGAGGGCAGGCTGTGCGCACTGGTCCGTGCACAGCTGGTCCGTGCGCAGCATGCTGACGCGGCCCCGGGGGCCGGTGAGTCAGAGCGGCTGTGTCAGTGGAGCCCTAGCTGTGCCGCGCACTGCCGCCCCATCTAATCTAATCGTACAGTAGATAAGGACTTGTCCGTTCGAGCGTATAGTACAGAGGTCGTGGGTTCGAGCCCGTGAAAAGGAAAAAATTAAAAAGATGGCTAGACGCCGTGTCAACTCATGACATCGTGACAGAGAATGTCCTCGGCACTCTGTTGAAGCATCCTCAGCTTTCCTTCTTAATGCTCGAGTAGCTCACATCACCATATAGAGCTATCACTGACAGGCTTCCCCCACTCTTACAGACCCAAGTCTTTGGATGATGTCTCGGGTACTGTAACACGTAGTCTGTTCATACATATCTGGTAGCACCTGTTCTCCTCTCCTTTAGCCTTAAATCCTCGTTGTCACACTGTATGCTTTGGTACTCACTATAGATTGGGTCCTGACGCATGGCGACTGAGGGCTGGGGCTCAACAAACCTTACAGGTACTCATATTTGATGGACATTATTATCGCTTATTTTCCATTTCCATTTCATTCCCTTGGCTGTGTTCTCCTCCCATATGGGGTGACTGATGGCTGACACTGGTTGTTTACCAATGTTTTGTGCCAGCCATCATAGGGAGTTGGAGGGGATTAAGATTGAGGGGTTTCAAAACATGTGACTTTCACATGACATGATTGATGTGATCTATGATAGGATCTCTACAGTGCATTGGGACTTAGCACAAATACCACACTCGAATGCAGCCCCTCCTAACTCCCGAAGATGGCGGGAAGGAGCCTGCTCCCAGCCATTGTAGGGAGTTGAGAGGGATTAAGATTGCGGAGTTTGAATTTGCACGTGATTGCACATGACTTATGTGATGCGATCTATGATATGATCTCTACCAAGCTATTTGGACTTTAGCATGAATTTCGCCCTCGAATGAAGTCCCCCTCAACTCCCGAAGACGGCGGGAAGGAGCCTGAATGAATACCCGAGCATGCAGTCGATGCAGTCTGACACGAGCTCGTTAATTCCACCGATACCGCCTGAAGGAAACCCATCGCCAGGCTGTTCTGGGGCTTCTTCGGCCGAGTAGCGAATCATCGTTCAGATCGACACACGTATTGTGACTAAAATGCAATGTGGACCGCCACGGGATCGACTGAACTGAAGACGTCTTCGAGGGTGGCACTCTTTTCAAGTTCAGCAGGAAGCGGCGAATCAGGCCTCGGGTCCGGTGAGAACGTTCTGTTGCATAATAGATTGTGGGTATCCTGGTTATCCCAGCACTGACACAGCAGAAAACGAGATGCTTACAGCATACTGACAACGCCTGTCGGCCCAGCCTTCCCGATGACATTGCAGGTCTGACTGGTGCGCCATGACAGCCGTAGGACATCGGCTGCAGAGTCAATCACCGTGTGACGGAAGCATCGCAGCGGGTATCCTATATTCCCCACAGTGCAAATACTCTTGCTTCTTTACTTCTCCGATTTCCATGGGTTACCTGAGCGTGATCGGGGTGTATGGCTGCTACATATATAATGTGTCCCTTGTTTGTGATAGTCCGATTCAGACTAGCCCATCCTTGTCTTGTGAACGGTGTCGTGTCCACGCCTTAACTGTTGAGCGTGATGCATGACGTACTGGGCTTCGCACTAATATGTTTGATCTTGGGGGTCCTGGGGCGCATCTTTGTACGAGTGTTTGTCAAGTCACCGCTGGATAATGTTCCTGGCCCGCCTGCGCTCTCATTTGCTAAAGGTAGTCGTTTATGTTTTGACATTCGTTGCTCATGGACTTCTGCTAATGTGTTACAGGTAACATTCCTCAGCTATACAACCGCAATGGCTGGGGTTTCATCAAAGATCTATCTGAGAAATATGGCGGGGTCGTCAAGATCCATGGAACATACGGTGTGCGTCAGGATATCCTCATGAGCGTATACCGAGCTAACCAGTATCCTCCAGAGCAAACAACTGTTTGTGTTCGACCCAGTAGCTTTGTCTAGTGTTGTTATCAAGGACCAATACATTTATGAACGCAGTGATGAAACCGTGAGGTAGGTGATTGGCACGCGATCAGGTCTGTTGCGCTGACGTCCGTTGCAGCAGTACTCACCTCCTGTTGGGTGATGGCCTCCTCACTTCACAAGGTATGAACGAGCTTCAAAAGCTTTGGAAGTCACCCGTGCTCACTCTCATTTCAAGGGGAGCGCCACCGCAAACAGCGCAAGCTCATGAATCCTGTCTTCTCCATCAATCACATGCGGGAGATGATGCCAATATTCTACAGGATTTCTCGTAACGTGAGCTCCTTAGCCCCTATTTGAGACCACGACTCACGCATTAGTGATAGCTTCGAGACGCCATCGCATCCCGTGTAGACAATGGAGCGCAAGACATCGATATTCTGGACTGGATGTCCCGTACCGCGCTCGAACTTGTTGGTCAAGCCGGCCTTGGATACTCTTTCGATCCACTCATTCGAGACAAAGCCGATTCGTACGCAGAGGCTCTTAAAGCACTGATGTATGTTCAGTCTCTTCTTTCTGTCGAACATGTGATATGCATATTGATTGGACACCTTGTAGACCTACGGCGTTCACGTTGAGAACGTACCTACCCTTCCTGCCGTATGTGATGAAGATAGGCACCCCAGCAATGCGTCGCCGTATCCTCGAACTGATCCCGAGCACGCGTCTGCAACGCGTGAAGGAGATTAGCGATGCAGTGGACGCTCATTCGAAGCGTATCTTCAAGCAGAAGAAGCAGGCAATGACTCAAGGTGACGAGGCTGTGCTCAAGCAAGTGGGCGAAGGCAGAGATATTCTCAGTAGATTGAGTGAGTTGCACTATGCTGACAGAGGTCGCATCTGACATACGTGGCCATAATAGTGCAAGCGAACATGACTGCGTCCGAAGAAGATCGCCTCTCTGAAAATGAGCTATTGGGTCAAATGTCGTATGTATCTATTCGCTAGGATAATTTGCTTGTCGCGCTGAAGAATCCCACAGGACTTTCATCTTCGCTGCCATGGATACTACCTCCGGCGCTCTCGCTCATACACTGCAGCTACTTGCAGAATGTCCCGACGTGCAGAACAAGTTGCGAGCAGAGATTCTGGAGGCTCAGGGCGGCGAGCAGGAGATCCCATATGACACATTGGTCGACCTGCCGTATCTCGACGCTGTCTGCCGCGAGACACTTCGACTGTGAGTGATCTCACGACCGAGTCTGCTGCATCCGCATTCCCGCTGATTCTTGCATTAGTCATGCTCCTGTCACAATTGTCAACAGAAAGTAAGTACCGCAGAGGACAATCCTGATAAGTCTTGTGCTGGGACTGATCGTGTAATTGTTGCTTAGAACTCGGGAAGACGTTGTGATGCCACTCTCCCAGCCTATCCGCGGCACGGATGGTACTTATATGAGCGAGATTCCTGTGCCTAAAGGAACGGAAGTGGTTGTCGGCATCCTTGCGTCTAACAGAAATCCAGCGTTGTGGGGTCCTGATGCAGGTGTGTGGAAGCCCGAGCGCTGGCTTGCCCCTCTGCCAGAGACCGTCAACGCAGCGCGTGTTCCAGGAGTGTATTCGCACTTGTAAGTGATCACGCATTGATGATAGATTGGTATGTTGAGAAGATCCCATTTCCAAGGATGACATTCCTGGGCGGTGGCCGTGCCTGCATGTAAGTTTTCCAAGTTTATTGCGTGTTTTGCGGTTCTCTCATTAGCATTACAGTGGATTCAAGTTCTCTCAGACGGAGATGAGTACGTACTTCAGTCTTCTGGAATTCTCCACTGTCTGACAATTTGATTCGCAGAGGTTGTCTTGGCTGTGCTGCTCTCGTCTTTCAAGTTCTCGCTATCCAACAAGGATGTCGTCTGGAACTCGGCCGAAGTCCAATATCCGACAGTAGGTACGAGTAACCAGCCCGCGATGCCCATGAAGATCGATCGAATCAAGAGTATATAATGAATGAATCTGTGGTCGTGCTCGGTATGCAATTCGCCCGTGCCCCAGATGATCATGATATAAAACTAGACATTTTGTGCATCGCATTCGAGATTAGAAAGTTTGGGCACGTTTGACCAGTTATGAGCGAAGCATGTGGAATCTGCAGAACCGCTAGCCTGTCTGAAGGAAGGGAAAGAATGCAGTACGTATGCTTCAATATTTCCGATCCACGTCATTGTCCCCTTAAGTCGATAACCCTGTTCCAGTGAGGATTTTCAGAGCCTAGCTCTAGCCTCGGACGACAGACTTAGGCTGTGTATGTCAACCCGATATCAGACAGCGGATGAAAATCCGCGCGTCAGTCACCTAGTACTCCTTGACTTGCTGGGCGTGACAGCCAGTTGAAATTTATAATGTGTCGGCAGTGTTCAATCTACCAGGTATCTATATCGCAAGTTTAATGCAGATATCTGGGCTCCACTGTTGATTAGATTGCATAGCTAAACTCATCACACAAGGTAGACAGCCTGCGCTGAAACCAATACCGCAACATACAATGTATACTGCTAGAGGAAACCTCCCCATCTCTCAGCAAAAAGCCGTGATTTCGACTTACTCTGTCGGGCCTGTTTATAAAACTAATAGATTTTGCGCCAAGTGATAACCGGTATGATCGGAAGGGATCGTGCAGGCGGATGTACACTGTGGCGTCTTACAACCTTCGCATGGCAGTCATACATGGCCTTGCGAATATCATATCTGAGGAACTATTGGCGACGTCAAGATGAGTCACACATATGTAGCCAAACCCAAACTTTGAGAGTCCTTTACTCACGCAACCCGATCGCATATTTCGATAGTCTTCCAAGTCGCATTCTCTCCGACGAATCGACGCCAGCACACTGGCAGTATGCAACGCTGGTCAGACATTACGGTCGGCTGCGTCAAGAGCCCTTACCATTCGACCAATCTCGCCGTCTTTTTCTCGAGTACGGGCCCGTCAACAACCGCGCGCTAGCCACCTGTCAGACTCTATCCTGACTCCTGAAAATGTTCGCCCCATCCTCGAAGGTTCAATGTTCAATTGCCAACGCATCTCTAACCTATCCTCGCCGCCGACAGTCTGATCTCCTGATAAAGTTTATCCCACCTTGGAGGCATCAATTGCCAATCCACCTCTAGTTTGGTATAGATCGTCGTCGCATCCTGATGGCGAACATGCTCGCGCCTCTGCTTCTTGTTTTGACTCGGGATGTTTCGCTAAGTGCGATCTTCTGCATCTGTCAACTGCCATAACTGTCAACCGCCATGACAACCGCCTGCAGTCTTGTCAGAGGCGCTTCAACTTGAAGGGGATATGCGTACGAAGGGTTTATCTTCAGAACCCACACCAGAACTCTCCTATGCAATCTGCAACTGCTCGCTGTATGGCTACACTGGTGCATCGAACTTTATCACAATTACCACAGCTAGCGCCTACGGCACCAGCTGCCCCTTGGCTCTATTGCAGAGCGGATGTCTCTAGCGCGCATCCTAATGGCGTCGGGCGGTCATCAAAACACACAATCTTTCATTCTGGGATGTATTACCAATACTCACCGCCTGTGTGCGTGTCTGGGCATCCACGTCATCCGGCTCGCCATAAGGTGGATCAAGGACTTAGCAGCCTGTAGGTGGTGATCAAGTGGTGAAGGTATTGACCTAGTGATAGCAGCAAGTTGTTGATGGCGCTTGGACGGTTATTTAATTTGTCGATTAAAGCGGGAGCGTAGGACCGTTGATACCATATGCCTGCCGGATGTGAGTACCATGCAATTGCATTATTGGATTTTGTGCGAGCACTGCAGGATTATGAGGGCCTCCCCATGATGTGTAACGAGTCAGTACATTTGGTATCGGACAATCGATTAACAATTAATCCCCTCCACCAGCATGTGAGGCGTGTTGTCTGTCATCAGGTATGAGAGCACCCATCTCGAGTTCGCCAGCGGTGGACTGCCCAACAGGCTGCAGGGGCAGGTCTTCTGTCGTAGACATGTATAGGGAATCGTCAGTCAGCGATGCTCCCATACTGTCCACGAAGTGTAACGAGGGCGTATCCTGGCTTGAATGAACGAAAGACGGTCTGGACAGCGAGGTAGGGGTATGCATGGAGTGCTGCACGTCACGAAGATGCAGTAGAAAGCGAGATATAAGTATCGAGGGCAACCTGGCGAAACAGGATTAGGCGCTGTTATGCGCGACTGCTGTGCATGCGCTTACATTGCAATGAACTCGCTGGCAACACCAAAATACGGCTATATTCAACATGTGAGACGACTGCCGAACGCACGAACTTGCAACCTACGCCTTCGCTTAGCTCAAGAGCCATTTGTATTATGTTGAGCGCCAAGAGACAACTGGTAGGGTGCATGTATAAATACTGAGCTCGTGGACATATGGGGAAATGTTGCTTACGCGAAATAGATGGTCCCTGCGCGGAAACGTTCGTCATGAATGTGCGTCTATTGAAACCCATAATGACGCACCATCTCTGAGTATCAACGTTACCAACGACAACCTCCAGCGATTTCTCCTCGACTGTCTAAACAACTTGTAAGTCTTCGACCAAATTACGATGAGCACGATGAGCTCGGATGCCGTCGCGCAGGTGCGCGTTGCTATCGTCACTGAACATTTGATCAGCCTCTCGATTGATCATCCATTAGTAAGAAGCCGACATTACATCTACGAGAGCGTCAATCAGTCTGCTTAGAAATCTAGAATGTTGACGTACTTGTTTTCGGTGCTTTGTGACAAGTCGTTGCCTCCATTGCACTCCGGGTTGCCGACAATCCAACTAACGGTGTCGTATGAAGCAATGGCGGTATAAAACTGGCAACTATATCAGTGAATAGTGTTCCAGATTGGTTGTGGCAGAGGCTCACATTGTTCACCGCCACGGGTGGCAGGCCAAGTATCAAGGTCAACGTTGCTGATAACCAGTCACGGTCATTAATGGCATATACTCGTAGCGCGGAAAAGGCTAGTGCACAGTTCAGTACGCGCAATGCGTCGTAGCTGGTCAGTAAACATACTACGCACCTGCAGCAACCGCATACAGGATGATCTGGAGAATATCATACAGCATACTCATCGCCTCGCAGCTACACAAGGCACGAAGATAAGTCGTTGTATATATTGAGAGACAAATCGCCACGGTCTACCTCTGCAAGATGGTGAGAGTCGGATATATAGACATGAGCGAGAACTCACGATAGGGGTGTCCCAGGGATAGACATAGACGGCATTGATTATGCCAAAAGCAAGCAGGGTATAACGATTGAAAAGGAATATGAGGCCAGAGCTTGAGAATTTGCGCTCGCGCAGTAGTCGGACTTCTCCCGCCGCAGTGATTAGGTGTTCATAGATAATCAGTGCTGTCGTGGACCTCGGTCAGCAACCTAAGGCTCGTGTAGAACATTCCTATCTCACTAGTAATTGAAAGCTGGCAGTAGTTGTTCAGAAATCTGGCGCGCACATGTCAGTATACTTAACGTCCAGAATAACTCAAGAATGAATTGTGACGTGCACTTACGTCGCCTGGAAGAATGCAATTGCTTGTGTTTCGGCGCTTGAATCCACGGACATCACATGGATGAACAGGTTGCGCTCTCCCCCGCAGCGGACAGAATTTATACGATAGCGGGTTGATCGCAGTCGTGCTAGATAAACGGAGACGTCTAAACGATGAGAATGCCCAGTCTCGCACTAGTGTCGCTTGGTGCGGGACCCGCGGAGCTTCTGGCGTTTGTAGTCGTCTAGAATGTATCCGAAGGCCGGTTTCGGTAATCGTCAAAATCGCCCATCTTCGTTCGACGCAGCTATCTCCGCAAGGGGTTCGAGATACACCGTAACCTGATGTACCGTGGCGTAACCGCCCAGACAGACATTGACAGCCATGGTTCTGGCGGGTCATCATAGTACAAAACGCTTTCCGCAGATCAGTGACGTTTGCTCCTCAGCGGCAATTCTATATACTGAACGCGTGGTATGATACGTCACGACAACAACCCATGTTATCGTCGCCCATTGACTTCTGCAGGATATGTCCATTAGTTTCACATCGCATGCCAAGAGTATATATGGCAGCGCACAGGTTCCGGTCTCACACCCCAGTCTCACATCCCGTACCCGGTCTTTTGCGTGGCGGTGGCGTGGCATTGGACTCGGATGTCAGGTATAAGACGAGTTCTACGCACCGCAAACGCGCTAGGCTCATCTGGACGGGGCTATGCTGGAGGGTGTCGGCATCATGCCCTCAGAGTAACTGTCGGTATCAAGAAACGACCCGTGGATAGCAAGAACTTCAAACTCGGTTTGATTCGATAAGTCTTCATCTCCCCTGCACAGGATCTCTGCAGGAAAACTGGCGTATACATGGGTTACCGGTACAAAAACAAGTCCAGCTTACCTCTCAGTGTGGTGTGTTCTGTCAATGTGGTGTGCTCTGTCAGTGTGGTGTGTTCTGTTAGTGTGGTGTGTCTTCTGTCAGTGATCTCAAGACGAGCGCCCGTGAATTTGGCAAGCACCAGGCCTGCATACCTCCCTTCGGCGCGAAAATTCATATTGAAACGTCACTGAATCGGCCAGTGCCATGGCCAAACTACAGTCAGGCATCAAAGATGAGAGGTGAGACGGTGATAGGTTGTAGAGAGCTTCTGCTATTGATGACCACCACTGCGATTCCTCCGCGTAACGCGCACGAGACGAATACTGCAGCTACAAGGCTGTGGTTATGGTCGTCTGGAGTTGAGAGACACGACGTGAAGTTTCATCGAAAGCAGGGACAAGACCGAGGTGTTCTAGAGGCATTAGCATTACCATACAATATTTCACCTTTTTGGCCTCAGCGATCAAGGAAAAGTCCTGCCTGCACGCGCCCGAACTTCAAATCCTTCACACCCTCTCCTTCCTTCCCAGCAACCAGCGCCCCCATGACCTTTTCGTCGGGTATGTTTTGCAACCTCACCAGCTCGCGGCGTACGTACGCGACCAGCGTGGCCATGAGCTCCGGATACGCGACGTACTTGTCCGCCTCGTTCGGCGCATAGTCGTGCACACCCGACCCGTCATCCCGTGCCTCTTCCACCTCAAGTCCGCGCTTTTCGATGTCCTTCACCTTGACCACTTCGCCGCCCACAAGGTTCACAGAGCGGCGGAAGTAGGGGTTTTGTTCGTCCGACATGTTGGCGTTAGAAGGGTAGACAATCCCGCGTGCCCCACGGCCGCCAAGGATATTGCGCCAGACGACAGCAGCCATGTCTGCATCGCCCCGGATAAGCGACGCGTCAAATGACATGCCCATGCCCGCCCACTGCTCCCTAAATATCTTCATCTGTTGCGAGACTAGCCGCTCGGGAGCACGGCCTTTTGGTCGCTTTTTGCCAGGCAGTGGATTTGCAATAGTATAGAACTGGGACGGGGTGGTATACGGCCCAAGTGGGGAGTTGGGTGTGATGGTGTCAGGTGTCGCAGGTTGGAGGACAGCGCGAATTCTGTCTTCGACGTCGAGGAAGAAGTGATCTATAAGAGCTTGCAGATGGTTCATCCCGTGGGGTGGTGGTAATGCGCGCAGCCGTACAGTCAGCAGCCAGATGTGCAGGTTCACAATGGTGAACCATGATTGAAATGTGGGTGGAAGGTGGCATTCTGTTCACGACGTGTCAGCGTGTTGCATCCACTTACTTCCGGACGTGCTGACAGTGAGATGAAACAAGCATGCGAACAGACAGACGTACCTTCCTGCCAAAACGCCATGTCCTCGTCAGGTCTAACAACGCACAGTTGCTCATACATTGCAAAAGCCCTTCTGCCAGCAACTTGTTTGGGACTCCCGTACCCCATGACATTCGCCATCTTCAAGAACGCGCTTTTCGCCGCAGGAGACTCTTCTAGTTTTCTTGTGAGCCATGATGTTGGCCGCCGAGGTGTGTTTTCTGGTTGCTCAGGCCGAGCTGCGGGGCCTGAGCCTGCTGTTAATAACCGCGTACTTCGTAGTCGCAAGCTTGCCGTTGGCGGTCGCAGACAGCGAGCGAGCGGCGGTCGAGAAGCCATAAGTAAAGCAAGAAGCTACAGTAAAGACTCCAAAAGTAATGGCAAGTAACAAATAATGGTTTGATTGGATTATGTAATCAATCATCATTCATGCAGTGTAATGGAACCGGGTAAACGCATGTAACAATTCAGTAAGTCGACCGTTTCTACACTCCTTTCCCAGAAACCACCGCAGCACATGCTGCCCAACGGCGCAAGCTGTTCATTATGGACTCCTCTACTCGAGAATCCTCTAGTTCTGCTATAGACTTGACTGGAACACCCGCAGGCTTCGGCAGTTCTCGTCCTAGTTCTCCTTCGCTCGTCCCGTCTGAAAGTCGCGGAAGCTACACACGCCGACGGACGAGTCGTGGGTTTGTAGACGTTGGGGAGGACCCATTACGCTTTGACGTGCCTGTAGAGGCACCTCGGGCACCGAAAACAAACTGGATGTTGGACGACGACCCGTTCGCCTCGCCAACTGAAGAAGACTACGTGAATGATTTGCCGTACAGACCGCCGCGTTCGCGGTACCAGGACACAACAGGCGCTTTCCCTACCGCTCAGGTGGGCCCGTCCTCCGTTTCACTGATCTCGGAGTTTCGCGGCTCGGTTGATGGACAAAGGGAAGACGACGAAGCGAGGCTAACCAGCAACATGTCGCGGGCAGGCATGGCCAGCGGGTGGAGTTCCTCTGGGGGGTCAGACCCTGAACTGTCTGGCGCAGGATCTAGTGCGAGACGACGGAAGGTCCGGTACAGCACGTCTCCGTCACCTTTCAAGAAGTCGGGTTACACGCTGAAGGCGATGTCGCGCAGCCTCAGGCGCGCCTCGATACGTGTCGTGAACTTTGCTGGCTTTGGGCTGGAGGAGCACGTGCGGTTGGCAGAAGTGAGTGACGATTCAGAAGATACCCTTACTGGCAAGGCGGAGGCAGGGGAGGACGATGTCGATGAGGAGGATGCGGCACTCCCTGATTTGTCAAAAAGCCTTCCCATTCGGGGTCGGACTCTGGGCTGCTTGGGGCCGACGAGCCGGATCCGGATGGCAATGTATCGTCTACTCGTTTGGCCGTAAGTTTTCTTGTCCTTCATCGGCCTTGATTGCATTATGTTTATACATGTCGTTTCAGATGGACGGAACCAATCATTTTGCTACTTATCATCTTCAACGCGGTCGTGCTGACGATACAAGCCCACCGGTCACTTGCGCTTGCAGCGGATGGCAGCCAGAACCCACCTCAAACCAAAGGTTACTTCCACGCATGGGAGGACTACACTTTGTTTTCATTGTTTTGCTTCTTTACGTGAGTATTTCATACATCAGGAACTCATGGCCGAAAGTCATGTTTCTTGCACAGCCTAGAAGCGTTCGCACGCATAGCTGTTTCTGGATTCCTGTTCGACCCCGAGATCCCTACCTCGTCGCTGCTTTCTTCATTCTCTTTCTCAGCACACGTAGATTCATCGATACCCAATGCACATCTAGAACAACCAACATCACTAGCTCCGCATCCCTCACTTGGCCACGCTCATTCACCATACGCGTCGTCTCAGCAACGACATAATGTACCGCAGCGTCTTCAATACCTGCTCACGAATCTGGCTCGCCCGTTCACTTTACGACACAGTACGATGTCTCTTCCTCGTGAGCCGCCTCCAGTTTCGTCCTCGTCGCACACACAAAGGAGTCCATCCCATGCACGCTCCGACACTGTGCAGAGCCGGACACCGATGATGGACAAGGCGTTTTCGAAACTCCAAGACATGCACTCGCACATACGCAACCCATCTGAGCCAACCATATTCTCGACCGCCCTGCGCTCTGACAATCCGGATGTACTCGCGCTCCCCTTCCGCTTGAGCATCGCACATGCACGCGTGCAGACACAACGAAATGTCCCATACTTACGACACAGCTGGAGCAGGATCGACTTTGTCGCCATCGTGGGCTTCTGGGTCTCATTTGTCCTCGCGACTGCGGGTGCAGAGCGTGGAACGTACCACATCGGTATCTTTCGAGCTCTGAGTGTTTTAAGAACTGCTAGACTACTTGCCATCACGTCTGGTACGACAGTAAGTGTTCGATAATGTTCTGCGTATTATGCAAATACTTATCATTGGACAGACAATCATGCGATCGTTGAAAACGGCACGGCCCCTGCTAGCGAGCGTCGCATATTTCGTCTTCTATGCTATGATTCTCTTCTCGTGAGTGTTCCCTCAAATGGCACTATATAGCTGACCTGCTAAACCCTCCTAGCATCATCGGCATCCAGGCTTTCAAAGGCTCATATTTACGCTCATGCAATGTCTTACCGACCTTGGGCGAGAGCCTCACAGACACCGGTCAAAATTGTGGAGGGTACATCAACTCTACAACGCTACAAGTGATGGGCTATCTGAAACAAGACGGGACGTATGGACCTTCCAAGGGATATATTTGCTCTGCGGGACAAATCTGTATGGTGAGCATTTCTAGTGATCAATCAGTATATATTCTTGATCATTAAGTCTGATTCAGGAGGATTCAATGAACCCCGAGAGTAATATAGAAAGCTTCGATACGATATACTATTCGGCATTACAGGTTTTCATTGTAGCATCGTCTAACGGCGTACGTCCAACTCTCTTGAGTTTCGATATTCACCCTGATAATCCTATCGTGCAGTGGTCACCTATCATGTACAACATGATGGATGCAGAATTCTTCGTTTCTTGCCTGTTTTTCATCACATGTATAGTCGTCCTCAATTTCTGGCTCATCAACCTCTTCGTTGCTGTCATTACCAACACATTCTCCGCCATCCGCTTGGGTACAAAGAAGAGTGCTTTTGGAGCTGCATCGTAGGTGCTACTTGTTTTGAAGCATGCCGCTGCAAGTAGTGTTGATCATTTGATCGGAATCGGTAGCATCGCTCCCGTTATCGACGACAATGACGAAGGATGGACCCTGGTGGACGGCCGACGCGCTGCCAGGCGCACTCGTATCAAGCAAGTATACGAGAGTATCCGCTGGTGTTGGGTTGCGCTGGCACTTACTTCGCTCGTCTTGCAAGCTACGCGTACGGTCGAGATGGGGGATGCGCATGCGACGATCCTGGACCTTGGCGAACTTGTCTTGACTGTTGCATTCGACATCGAAATCGTCGTCCGCATAGTTGCCGAGCTGCCGGACTGGCGAGCGTTCTTCGTCCGAGGACAGAACCTGCTCGACTTGGTACTAGCAATCGGGTCAACCGTCATACAGATACCGGACATTCATAACTCGGACGTCTATCCCTGGCTGACGGCGTTCCAGCTGACGAGGTTCTATCGAGTGATACTAGAGATACCGAGGATGAAGCCATTGTTGGTGAGTGATACAATAGTCGTGTCATCACTACGTATTTATTGACATGGCTCTACAGCTCGCAGTGTTCGGTAACATGTATGGCCTGGCGAACATGTCGCTGTTCCTGATCATACTGAACTTCGTAGCGGCGCTAGTTGGCGTTCAACTACTGAGGGGAGACATAGCACGGGGCCAATTCATCGACTACGGCCAAATCTACAATTCCTTCCTGGCTGCGTATCAATTGTTCTCGTCGGAGAACTGGACCAACGTGCTCTACGGCGTGGGCCCGCCAGAGATACCTCTCCGGCAAGCACCTGTTGTAATCTTGTATCTTACTGGATGGTTTTCGCTGGCCAATTGTGAGTATGGTTGTCATGCATCAACGTCAGATCCTGATGATACTGCAGTCATCGTCTTGCAGATGTTCATTGCTGTTATAAACGAGAACTTCGAGATCGCCGAGGAGTCAAAGAGGAGTCAACAGGCTTCACATTATTGGGCGTCACATCAACCACACGAGACACAAATACCCTGGCTTCGGAGACTGAACCCGTATATGTGGTTGAAGGCTCAGCCAAAGGCTATCGCGGTCGAGCAGCTTCCATCGAGTCTTGTGTTACCTATGCAGAAGACGCTTGTTGAGGATTTCGGTCTCCCTAAAGGCGGTGCGTTGAATAGTGTAAGTCTTAGACTTTGCTTATTTTGACGAATCTTAATTCTTGGTCATTATAGGATACTTCAGGGAAAGCAAACCCGCCTCGTCTAGGTTCTGCGAGGTCGTACATTCGGAGACTGCAGCAGTTGTTTTCTGGCGCATCTGACGTCGATCAGATGCCAATGGCACCGATCAGGAAGCGCGATTCGTCGATACCTCAAGATCCCATTGATGAGGAAACTGAACGTTACCTGTAAGCATCTCGCAGTGTGAAGTTACCAGTTCGTACTGAAAGCTATGCAGAGAGGTCATAGCGGCCTTGAATTCCGATACCGCAGCCGCGGAAGACGTGTCAGATGTTCTCTACGAACGTCGCGCTCAGCAGGCAGACTTCATTCGTGATCACCCAACCTATGACAAGACTTTCTGGATATTCTCTCAGAAGAACCTACTACGACGTCTCTGCCAGAAAGTCGTTGCTCCTGCGGGGGGAGAGCGGATCTTCGGCTCCCGTCATTCGCCCATCGCCCATACACTCTTTCAGCTCGTTCTCCTACTTGCAGTTGTGGGAGGCATAGTCGTTGAGAGCATTGCGACTCCCATTTACCGTCGGAATTACTACCTCGAGCATGGCCTTATCCGAGGCACCTGGTTTGACAACGCGGAGGCGATATTCGGTCTGGTCTTGTTCTTGGAGTTCATTATCAAGATCATTGCTGACGGCCTGGTGTTCACTCCCAACGCGTACATCCGGAGTATCTGGAACATTCTCGACTTCCTGATCATGGCTGGTGTAGTCGTTAACTTGACGACCGGCCTTATCTTTATTGGGGGCATCAGCCGCCTGACGAGATCGCTAAAGGCATTACGCGCTCTCCGGCTCATCACTCTCATCGACATCATGCGTTCTACGTTCGAGTCGCTCATCATCTCTGGAGTCACTCGTATCCTTGATGCCTGTCTCTTGGCCATATTGTACATGATACCATACGCCGTCTGGGGCCTCAACATCTTCAATGGGCTCATGAAGGAATGCAACGACACCAGCGTGAATGACGTCGGCCAGTGTGTCGACGAATACAGCAATACAATCTACGGCAACTCTTTTGGTTTCTTAGTACCCAGAGTATGGGCCGATCCACATCCATCCACGACATTCTCATTCGACAGCTTCCGGACGTCTTTATTGATTCTCTTCGAGATCGTCTCTCTGGAAGGATGGATTGATGTTACGACAGTAGCAGTTAGTCTTCTTGGGCCGGGTCAACAGCCACAGATGAATGCCTCCCAATTCAACTCAATCTTCTTCCTGATTTATAATCTCATGGGTGCTGTCATCATCCTGACTCTGTTTGTCAGGTGGGTCCATTGCATGGTGCACGGTACATGGATTAAATGACGACATGTTACCCAGTATTATCATTGGCAACTTCACCTCGAAGACCGGTTCAGCTCTCCTGACGCAACCACAGCGTGAGTGGATCGACCTCCAAAAGCTGATCAAGCGCCAACGACCCTCGAAACGGCCGCCAAGGCCCGATTGGCCTATACGAGCGTGGTGTTATGATCGTGCCGTCCATAAGCACGGTTGGTGGCATCGCATGATGACCATAATCTTCACGCTACACGTTATCGCGTTGATGTAAGGTTAGACATCTCTCCTCTGGATTTCGCCGTTAATGAGATATTCCAGGACGCAGACATTGGGCACTACATCAGTTGCTGACCATGTCCGGGGTGTGTCGCTTTGATAACATGAAATGTTTACACTAATTTACGCGTGATCTAGACGATCTGTTCCTCATCGTCACTATGATTTACTCAATCGATACTATAATGCGCCTGTTTGGTCTCGGGTGGCAAAGCTTCAATGCCAATGGGTGGAACCTCTTCGACGTCATTGTCGCTGGTGGTAGCCTCTTCACGACATTCATAGTGCAGTTCCGCTCGACAGGCTTCGTGGAGGAAACACTTCAAAAATTGTTCATAACCTCTATCGCATTCAAATTAGTCCAACGGACAAATAGTCTCAACAAATTCTTCAAAACAGCTGTGTACGTGGCGCTTTCTGCACACGATGCCGAGGACTAATGATGAATAGAGCGAGTCTACCTGTTATCGTCAGCTTGCTGGGCTTGTGGCTGATCCTATTTCTGTTCTTCGCCATCATGTATATGGAAGTCTTCAGCCTGACAAGATGGAACTCGGCCGAAACCCGCAACGAGAACTATACCACCATGGCGAAGGCATTGGTGATGTTGGCGTTTATGACCACTGGGTAAGTGCTGTATACAGGACACCCCGACTTAGAGCTCATGTCCAGCGCCAGAGAAGGTTGGAACCAGTATATGCATGATTTGTGAGTCGTGTAGCCGTCCTAGAATGCCCATTTATTGATATATGGCTTGAAGTGCCCTAGAGTACCCTCGATGCACGATCCTTGCAAACGGAGACTCTGACTGCGGGAGCGAAGGCTGGGCATTCACTCTTTTCATCGCTTGGAATCTCTTGAGCATGGTGAGTATCAAACGTACTCACAGACTATTCGCCGCTAAGCTTCATCGCAGTACATTTTTGCGAATCTGTTCGTTGGTACGTGCGGACCACTAAACTACTCTGTCACCATCTAAACCTTGACTCAGGTGTCGTTGTCGAAAGCTTCTACTATGTCTTCCAGATGTCTGGAGGTTCCAAGTCGATCACGCGCGAGGAGATGCGAGCCTTCAAGAAGGTGTGGGCCGAATGCGCGAATGCCAAAACCGGTTACTTGGAACGCAGCTCCTTCGTTAAGTTCTTCGGCGTGAGTATGATTATGCATCTTATGTATACATATCTCATCACCCATCAGAAATTGGGCGGTATATTTGAGGTCGCGATATATTCCTCAGAGTACAAGATCCCGAAGATACTGGTTCGGTGTGCAGAAAACCAGAGATCGACGAACATGTGGACGAGCACCGTCGATGGCGTGGACATCGACAAGTTGAACGCGACGCTGAGCGGTATCGATCGAGCGGCCACTAAGCGCAGGAAAAACTTGTATAATCGACTGTTTCACGAGGCTCGTATATCACACGAGCCTGGAAAAGGCATATCGTTCACCAACATGTTACTATTACTGGCTCATCACAAGCTCATCGTGGATCGCGACGCATTGGTGTAAGTCCTTTACGCGGTAGGTTTGGTCTTCATGCTGACTGATATGCGACCAGGCTCAAGGATCTAGTCATACGTGCGGAGACCAACAAAATTGTGACCGATCTTGTCGACTTCGATAGAGTCCAGTCACTTCTGCTCATGATCCTGTACCGTCGAAGATACCTTGCTCATAGAGAGCAAATTCGGCAGCAACAAATGCAACAGCAAGGTCAGATACTCTTTCTTATTGCAGGCCAATCATCGTCTGACAAATCGTAGATATCCCTGCCATTATTGTTGACGGCTTGATGACCACCCCTCCTGTCGCTACTCGGGATATCACGTCACCGGGACAAGACACGACAATTCGCCGTTTCGCCGAGCCAGAGTCTCCTTTGTCAACGTTGGGTGGGGCCTCATCGTCAGAGCTTTCTCTCGCTCCAGATTCGCCCTCCCCGTCTCTGCATAGGAGCAGGCGTGTCAGCGATATCAGTATGATGTCTCTGGATCCTAGCCGGAATTTGTCGTGAGCATTGATAGGCATATCTCTCCTGATCGAACCGCTGACGTCCACAATGTGCAGTACTGATGGCATTTCGAGGCTCTCGCGTTCTGACTTGGACGATCCTAACAACATACTAGCAGCTGTACAGGGTTCTGTGTGGAACGGTAAGCATTATTTAATGCTGGCGTGAGAACGAGCAACTCAGAACCACCAATGCTAGATATGATGCTAGAGGCGGAACAAGAAGAGGACTGAAGTATTTGCACACTACTGCATTCCGGACTATTGATCTTATGTCGCGGTATCATAGCATTGTATAGTAGCACTTAGCCATAACTTATCATACTTTCAGTTCAAAGGGAATGCATAATGTTTCAATCAGCCAAGGGACATAATACGGCAAGTTATAACTCTAAATAGCCTTGCCACGTCCTCTCGAGGGTCGCCATACCTTCTTTTCGACTGGCTGGAATCCATCGTCGTTCTTGGACGCTTCTTCCTTGGGGAGAGCACGCGGCACAGGTGACGAAGGGCGAACGGTTTGACCAGCTTCTGCAGCCTTCTTGGCAGTCTCCCGCTCGCGCCAACTACTTTGCACGGCACCGGGTCGGAACTTGGGGACGGGAGACTCTGATCTCGGAAGAGTTGCCGCAGCCTGACGTGGAGAAGGTGCAGCAGGGGTGCTTGCTGCAGGAGTTGACCTTCGCCAAACACTATCACCGCTGACGGATGCCCGCACAGGGGGTGCTGTGGGCGCGCGGTTCTTCTCGGCAGCACGAGCAGCAGCCCTGGCGCTAGCCTCTTCTTCTCGCTGTTGCTGCAGACGAGCTTGCTCTGCTGCTGCCAAACGTTCCTCCTCGCGCTTGCGACGCACTTCCGCCCGCGCATCCTCTTCCGTCTGTTTCTTTGCCTTCTCCTGCGCAATTTGCTCGGCTTCTTCCGCAGCCAAGCGCTCCTCCTCCGCAATGCGTTCTGGTAAAATGGTAAAGATCAGCACGCACTCGTTATGCCACGCGAGGGTCAAACTTACCAGCCTCCGCTCTGCGTTCCTCCTCCTCTTTCTCCCTGATAATCCGTTCCTCCTCTTCGATGCGCAGTCTTTCTTCCTCGCGGGCTTTGAGAATGCTAGCCTTTCTCTTCGCTTTCTCTTCATCGATCTTCTTCTGCGCTTGGGCCTGGCGCTTGGCGAACTCCTCGCTCCGCTTGCCCACTATCTCCTCCCTCTTGAGAGCGTAGTCAGACATCGTGCGCGAGAGACGTTTCTTTGTCTCCATATCATGCTGGTGGGCCAGTCTGTGGGACTCTAGGCGGGACTTCTGAGCAGCCTCAAAGGCTATCTTGTCGTTCTCCTGCTGGATGTCATAATCCTTGGCAAGAAGAGGACGCTCGTCTTTGCGATACGCCCGCTCAGCGTGATCAAGACGCTTCGCAATGACACGCATGCGTTCGTTGAGATCTCTCTTCTCCTTCTCGAGCTGCTGAACTTGCATACGCATGAGGTTGTCGGTGCTGAGGGTCTCCATGTCCTGCAAGATACGTCAACAGGCGAGACGTCAGATATACGCTGCATCACTCACGTTAAGGTCAACCTTGAGAGTTCCTTTCTCTTTCAAGCTCTGCGCGAGCTTCCTTGCCTCCTCATTACGGATGATCTCGATCTCCCGCCTGGCCCTATCCTGCTCCTTCTTGCGCGCCTCCTCCGTCACACGCCGGGCCTCCTCCTCCTTCTCGCGGCGTGTAAGCTCAGCCCTACGGCTAGCTTCCTCCTTCTCCTTCCTTACAGAGAGCTCGGACAAGAGCTCCCGCCTACGAGCGACCAACGCCCGACGCAGCTGGAGCGCCTTGCGCTCCGCCTGTGCAGCAGACACGAGCGCAACGAACTTCGCCTGCTGCTCTTCCTCACTGGGCGGAGCAGGAGGGGTGAGCGCGACGAGGGAGTTATGGAGGCATTCTCCGAGCCTACTGAGACGGGTGCGGACGAAGTCAGACGTCGACGGCTGCACGGCGCCAGCACTCGCAATTGACGTGGATGAGCTCGGGTCTTCGACCGCCGTGAAGGGGTTATCTACAAATGTCATACTCCCTACCGCGTGGTCGACACGGACAGCGAGCTCTCCGCGGCGCGCACAACCCATGATGTACGCCTCGACCTGCTCCGCGTCGTAAGAAGCGGCGCCCTCAATGTCAAGGTTCTGAATCGGTGCGACCAGCTCAAATAGGTTGGAGAGCTTGATGGTCGAATAAACCTGCGCCAGCTGGGAAAGCAGCCTCGAGAGCAGAGCGCGCTGGAGAAGCGGAATGTACGATGCGTAGGCAGCATCAGCAGCAAGATTCGTCAGGAGGGGAGCGACGGAGGAGCAAAGCGTGAGCGGGTCGAAGGTGACCTCAAGAATGTTGTACAGAGACTTGGTGCTCTCTGGAGAAAGCTTGAGCACATTCCGTGCCAGCTGTTGAGAAAATTAGCCAAGTGACACCATCGGAGTGTGTGAAAGACTGACAGCATCCTTGAGGAGGCCCGCACGCGTGGGCGTCTTCGTGAGACCGAGAAGAGCGGACAGGCGCGAGCTCTTGCCCTTGTGCTCGTCGACGGCACTCTCCTCGCCCTGCAGCCCAACAGGAACAGCAAGAGCACTGACGAGTACCTGCCCGGCCAAGCGGCTGAGCTCTTCTTCCGACTTACCGCCAATCGCAGTCACGATAGCGTAGTACCGCCCCCACGCCGCGGCATGGTACAGCGCATTTCCGCTCATGAGGAAAATCTTCGTGAGCTTCTCATAGTAATTTGCCATCATGGCGGGGCGTGGCGCCTTCTTCGCCATCGTAAGGAGGTTGTGCACGTCCTCGACGGAGCGGAATGCCTCCTGCCAAAGCTCGAGCTCAACGGAAGTGTTGAGCTGTGCAAAGCGTGTGTCGAGATGGTGCTGTAGCGTGTCGGGATCCGACAAATTGATGGAATGCGGCTGGTGCGAATACTTTGCGACATTGCCGAGGTGCAGGCGGAGTGTCTCACAAAGCCTGCGGAATTCCACCTTACGCTGGTGCTTCAAGCAGAAACGGAAGGCTTGCTGAGCGATTTGCTACAAAACAATGTGTTCAGCTACAGGCTGACGTTTCTCGACTTGAATATATACCTGATAGATCACTTCCAGTCGAGCATTATTTTTGAGCGTCTCGAGCGCCGTGCGGTAGCTCTCCCATAGGAACTTCAGCCAGGGGGTGACGAGGGCTCTGTCGGTCCTGTCTTTGTTTTGATCGCCGCTCACCGCACCAAGCAGAATGCTCTCTGGCGTCTCGCTCGCCTCTAGATCGTCCACATCTAATGCAACCGCCTTGTCGGCCTTCTCTTGCGCCTCCTGCACTTTTGCGTCCGCGAGCTGGATAAATCGGCTGATCACGACTTCGATCGATCCAACGCTGGAGTTTTGAGCGATGTTCTTATACTGCATAAGTCCCTCCTTCGCTGTGCGCCCCTTGCGCATGTCGACGCAAAGTTCGATAAAGCGCAGCATGATGGGCTCGAGCGACACAAGCGGCGTCGACCGGAATCGTTTTGAGGAAAACATCTCAGTGAGCGACTGGAGGGCCGCATGCGTCTGTCCAACTGATACGAGGCCCTCGGCCTGCTTGAGGACCGCCTCAGGCTTTGAGTACGGTGCCATTGGGTTTCTGCGACAGCCGTCAATCCTGCTACCCCCAGCAAACTGACGGCAAATTGCACTTACTCGTGTATTCTAGTTGATGGAATCTAGCAGATACACTGTTTTACAGGCCGTGAAAATCGTAGCCAAGTCGTGAGGGCCCTGTTGGCTTATAGCTCACAAGAGTTATGCGAAACAGTTGGGAGGGGCTACGAGGCGACTGACCCCCAGGCTGTATTGAAAGTCCGATGTGGCAATGATAACGACCAGCGCTATAGTTGAGACTCAGCACAATAATGGTAGTAACCATTTTTCAATAAGGTAGGGCTAAGTCACTTTCGACCAACATCACGTGCTTGTGACTTCTTGTGACCAAGGACTTATCCTTCGGGAGCGCTGCACGAGAGTTGCATCCGTCTATCGAGGGCGTTGCCGAATAGAGCGCGCTTCTTTCCTCCGGTACACTGCAAATCTATCTTCAATTGCTCCTCGCACTTGATCACAGATTGAGAAACAGGGTTTTGAGAAACGATGTCCTCCGCAAATTTTCCTGTTTTTCGATTCCTTACTGTCTGCCTCAAATAATATCCTTTAGAGTTGCAAACATAATTTGCGCTTTTGTCACGATTTTGTAACGGCTGGCACGTGATGTTGGTTGAAAGTGACTTAGCCCTACCTTACATTCTGCTCATTATGTTGATCTCCGCTTTAACCTAAACCGTGTTTCCCAGGCTGTCAACACTCAGGCTCGGAGGGGAACTTGGCCGGGTACTGTACTAAGTAATAAGGATACTTCAATTGGACGATGTCGTCAATAGCATTCTTATCTTCGTATCCAATGGCAAGAAGAGAATTGAGCTTGCGCTTCGTTAGTGACTTCGAAACTCGAAACTACCAACGAAAACGGAGCACCTGACAGGATGCTAGACTTCCTTACATTGCAGAAACCTGAACGGCGCCACCCTTGCGCGCGGTAGTGCACGGTAGGTACTATTCCAATACAGACATTCGGGTTTCAAATTTCTAGCGGGAGGCAAGCAAGCCAATTAATTGCGTTCGAGCAGAAGCTGTAGCCTATATAATACCAAATACTGCCCAGAAACCCCCTGGAAGTGTTCTATACAGTGATAACGGGAGAGAACGGATGGTACAACGGTCAACATACACAGCGTCGATACGCGAGAGCACTGTCCCGAGTAACACAAGTCTAGAGGGCCGAGTCACGTCTATGAGGTGATCGATAGTACAGCGCCCGATACTTATCATGCGAAATGTCCGCAAGGCGTAGTAAGGACAGAAACAGGACAATGCGGCGCGAAGCCCCCTGCAAGTCCAATCGATTGACAATCGCAAAAAGAGAGGACGATCAATACGAGAAGATCATGAACCAGGGGTTTAGCACAATCTGTTGGTGGTCAAGAACAGTGTAAGCAAAGTCCCAGGCAACAAACTACTTCACGTACCGGGTAGAGGATGTGTGAGCCTGCGACGATCCTATAAGATCCCGGATCCATTGTCAGCTCGGTAAGTCAACATGCGACACACATCAACTCACGCTAGGGGGAAGAGGACCGCCCAGTCATAACTGTAGATCCGCCAGCCTTGCGGAATGACGTCCAGGGTCATGATAATCATGAGGATGCATACGAGGATGGACATGACGAGCGCCATCCAGAAACGCTTTAGGATTTTCGGCACCTCGAGCCAAAAGTTCGACCGCTCGACCTCCTTCTTAGTCGCGCCCCATGTGATGTTGTACGAGAACAGATGCGCGAGCAACGCCTGCGAAAGGTGGATGGACAGGCCGCCGAAGAAGAAGAAGCTACAGAGACAGGTAAGTAGGCGGAAGTAAACGACGACTTTTGAGAAGACGCACAAAAAGGGCACCCATGTCAGGTTCTCAGCGAGCGCGTTGAGTAGGTTCCGCTGACCAAGGCGGTACTGTAGTAGCGTGAAGCCGAAATTACCCGCACCCGGAAAGACGACCGTGCACGCGAGCCAGATCTCGAAACTGTGCTCATAGAAACCATCGACCTGGAGCGGGAAATGCAACATAAGCAAACATTCATAGGGAGCAGCAACTGATACCGACAGTGAGCGCCCACCCCAACACCAGGTAGTTTGACAGCGAGAGCACGAATGAAGCAGCAATCCCATCTATCAAGAGAACGCTGTCAGAGGCAGGAGCATCCCGAGCCAAGAGTGACTAACAGTATGAGAACATGTCTACAAGGACTCATCAGTATGCGAGCGAAACCTCAGATTAAGGATACGTACAGGAAAGCATCGTCAATTTGTAATGCACCGGGGCATTAGACCAGACGAAGACACGGAGCTGCTTCGTTATAGGGCCCATTTTCCACCAGTGGATGAGTGGATTGAAGATCAGTTCGTTACAACCTGTGGTGCGAATGGTGAGCAGCAACTCTCTTCCATGGATGGCGAACCACTCACCATAGGCGTACTTCTGCCAGCGATTCAACTCGTCATCACATGTTAGTGAGACGCCCTCCTTGAAGCCGCCCTCGGAATACGTCGCCCATCGGATGTTGTAGCCTTTGAGCTGCAGCCGAAGCGCCATGTCGAAGTCCTCAGATACGTTGGTCTCTGACCAGATCTTCTTCACCCCGTCCATAGGATCAACAAACGCCGCATCCTGCAGCGCAGACCACCGCAGAAACGCGTTATGCCCCACGAATGGCGCAACCTCTCCATTCGCACACCCCATCGAGATACACTTGTTGATCCGCCGCGTGAAGTGCGCGATCCCGTTCTCGAAGTAGTGGTGCGCCACTTGCATCACGTCTGATTCGTGCTGGATGATCGCCACCTCGGGGCATTCGTATAGCTCGCGCGCCGCGTCCCGTAGGCAGTCTTCAGGCACGAGTGTGTCCGAGTCGCAAATCAGGATGAGCTCGCCGACGCGCAGCGACCTGCCATTGCACGCCCACGGTCGCCATCGCCGTCCGCTCTCCTCGAAGATCTCCTCAACCGCCATGTTCATCGCCTTGTCCTCGAGACATTCGCCGGCTTCCGAGATCGCATCCTGGCCGCCGCGTGAGGCCTCCTCCGCCTCGAGCGCCAAGAGGTGCTTCTCGAGCTTGAGCGACAGCGCGAGCCCGTAGTTCATGTTCGACGCCTTCTTGAATCGGCCCGCACGCTTGTAGCCATCGGGTGCGTTGTCATGCGGAGGACGTGCGACCCACCCGATATTGTTGTCAGCGTAGAACGCGATGCGTGCCGCGCGGTCCTCCTCCGAGATGAGCTGCATGCCATCGTCGTGGACGAAGATAGCGGAGGTGCCGCCTTGCCGGGCATACGTCTGCATTGCCTTCTTGAGCGAGTACACTGACGGAGCGCTGACAAATCATCGGGCAGAAAGTTAGATCGTGAACACAACATGCCGAGTAAGCATAATGAGCAAGCCGAAGGTAAGCTTAAGTTGCGCCTGAGCTTAACGGACAAGCAATCGTCGTCGATCACTGTCGCAGGACTCCAACAAAGCCTGATACTATGTGGGGTTGCAGATTCCCACATGCGGCAGGCCTCGATATTGATTGGGAAAGGACTCACATGGTCTCTTTCAGACTCTCTTTGTAGACAGGCAACTCGATGGTAATGTGCGGTAGGTTGGAGTCCACCTCTTTATTGGGTGCTGGAGGGACCGCTGAATAGTACTTCGAGTTCTCGTGGTATTGTGCCACAGGGCCAAGTCTATGACGAATCATTAGCAAGTGCATTGGCTGTTAGGTAGGTGAACACTTACACATATGAGACGTTGGTGATAATCTGAAGACAGAAGAACTGATGAGGTGTCAGCGAATGAGCACTAATCGATATAGCTCTACCCTTCTTACCAAAGCGACACAGAAGAGGAAAGGGGTTGTCGCAACAAGTGCGAAGCGAGTGTAGACACCGTCTAGAACAGTCTCCTCGATGAGGATGCTTATACCATTTGCAATGAAATCTAATAAAAACGATAGGTCAGTAGCGTGGATCTGCCTTGGACGAGGTACTCACACATCGCCATCGCAGCACCGAGACCATTGTAGACAGGCGAAAACAGGCGGTTAGGTCTTTCTGACGGGCCTTGCGCAGACTTCTCCACATCTTCCTTGTTCGACACCCAGTAGCCCAGACCACAATTGCGCTTCTTTTTCTTCTTCGGCGTGTCCTTCTTCGCAATCGCCGCGACCTCTTTCTCGTCGATGATAGTCTGCCCAGCCTTCTCGTTTAAGTTGACGTCGGAGGCAGTGGTCGATGCTACCGCGGAGCTCGCAAGCGACGTGAACGCAGATCGGTGCTTCCACACGAGCTGAATGAGCTTTTCCTCGAAGTCCTTGCACGTGGGAATGATATTGTCCAGCGAATACGACCATACGACGAGCACGCTCTCGTCGCGCTGGATCTCGGCGTTAGCCAGCATGCATCAATGCGGTCACTAGCACAGGCGACTTACGATAAAGGCCGCACACTGTTCCTTGTCAGCGCGTGGAAGGAACATGATCGTATCCAGGATCTGGATACGAGTGTCATCGTCAACGAAGATGCATTCAGCATCTTCTTTGCTGGATATGGCGGTCAGCACTGCAATATGTCAGATATGATGCTGGGAACGTACACTGTCGTCAGCGCTGCATGGATGGCTGCGCTGCGAACCTTGACGGCCACGACTGGGTTGAGAGCCCTCACCGCCGCCTCGAATGGCTCTAGGTGGGGATTCTCATAAGGGAAGACACGGAAGCGTCCGGGAGCGACCCTTAGGCAGACACCCGCGTGTATGTTCTCCTCCGAGGGCTTGAACCAAGCATCGGCTTGGGTCTGCACCATGGTAATATGAGACACGGACTGGATCACATAATGAGACCGCGACGAACCTGCCTGAAGATGTGGTGAAGCAGAGCGTCGAACGCATCATAATCCATGGCAGCAATGAATGGATTGGAGAGAACGACGGGGACCGGAGGTGCGGGTAATCTGAGCTTGCTTGTGGCCAAGCTGCACCAAGAGGTGGTCGAACCGCACAGCACCTCCATAAGACATCTTATAAGGACAGACGTTAGACGGAGACTGCAGTTGAGAAAATCGCGGGACTGGACAGATCCAGGGATCTGTTTAGTGAGCGCCTCCGTCACCCCTGATTCGAAGCACAACTGTCAGCGAACAGCAGGTGAACAGGCGAACGACAAGCGACAGCTGGAACGGTAGTATCATCTTCCGACACCACACACAAGAGAACAGAGCAGGTACACCTGGAGCGGGCGATGTACACGCATGGCAGGTTTATTCAAGGGCTTCTGGACCGCGTCCACCAATCACGCACCGTTTGACATATGAGGTGTCTGAAGCCCAAGCGATCGTCACGTCTTGCATGTATTGTACCGCCCAGACGAGGCATGTTGCCGACATCTAGGCGCGTTATTTCGTGCGAACGCCGCTGTGGTGTGCCTTGCGCGAACTGATAGTAGGTGATTCATACAGGTTTGGCTGTGTCAGTCTTCGCTCTCCAGACTGTCGGTCTCCACGCGGAAGACGGGTGGGATGCCACGACGCAGCCCACAGAACCGCACGGGCATTAGCCGGCGCATCCGCATTTTGACTTGAGCGTCAGTACATCCGTCAAGACTCGACGCGTTCGGGACTCACCGTTTCCAGAGACAGCTCGCGCTCCCCAGAGGATCAGTTGGTCAGAAAGACGGAGTAGTACATCTTGTCACCGATGACGCTGCCTGTGGAGATTTCCCAAGGCTTTTCCGCGTACGGCGGCTTGCAGATCTCAGGCCGGTCGGAGAGCGAAGTGTACGCAATCTAACTGAGGCGCTGCGCGTCAATCAGCCGTTCTCACCGGAGGTGGTTCGGCGGCTCAAGTTGTCGAAGCCTGATACATAGGGTCTTTGGTGACTGGCGTAACATTGCGATGTCTAGAGTCGTCTATAGTTGGCGAATATGATGATGTCCTTTCCGGGTCGACGTCTCGCCTGCTGATAATCGGATACGGATATCCGAACCTGCCGAGGTCTGAAGGAAGTAATATGCTCTCAGGCTAGACTATCGGGTTGACGGTAACTTATCGAGGAAATTATAATTCACATAACCATCCAGAGATCCCACTGGATATCTGAGAAGAGTGGGGTATTGAAAGCATTTGACGTTGTAGAGCAGCACAGGGAGTGGGTGATAGAGTATTAAATGAGGGTTGAAGTGCCTCGCTTGCGGTGACAACACCATATGCCGCTATTTGATTGAGCTGGAGTGCATGAGAGACATTGCAATCAATGCCATAAATCAAATCGTCTTTCATAGAGAGCTGGAGAAGGTTAACAGTACACTGCGCGGACCGTGCTGTCAGAGGGCTGTGCCAAACTAGGCAGGTGCCCTGCCATAATTAGCTTAAATTGTTGGCACTGGGTGTCACAAGATGTCACATTTGCATAACGGAGTGCCACGGGGACCCGAGAACTCACTGCCCGAGCCCTTCAAGTACTGTATCTGTATGAGGAAAACGCCGGAATCTAGTCCACAGAGAGGCAGACTAAAATGCTTGATCCGTGGCAGGCATAGACAAGACGTTCTTGGCTCGAACGCAAAATGCTTCCGGTTTGCGTCCACAGGCACGGCGGCGTCTTCGGGGTGTACCTCGTAGGTCTGAATGACAGAAAACGCTTGATCCTCGGTGGTTCGGGAGCAAAGCTGAGCAAAGTCACCCCGTCGACGGGGATAGCTGGCTGCGTAAGCTTGAGCGAATCGAGCCGAGCTGATCTATGTCCTTCCAAATAAGGTAGCCCATAATTGCTTTCACGTGGTGATTGCCCTGCCCAGTCCAGCGTCGTGCCTCGACCCGGGCCACGACGAGTCGGCAGGCCATCGCGGTGCTAATTCCAAACGACGTCCTATAACCTGAACCGCGCATCTAACTCCAGATGAGAAGTATTGTACGGCAAGCAAGACCACGGACGCTGCTGGCTTATCTCTTCTGACTCGGTCAAGCCCGTTCTGGTTTAGCACGCCTACCACACCGGCGGAGGTAGAAGAAACACTCTTGTCAGCAAGGGTCGAGAGCTCATCTGCACGCTGCCTACACTCAAACCATATCGATTGCTCCGTGCGTCGCCGGGCGACATTCGTCCGAGGCGCTAGTGCGAGCCTCGAATCGTCCGAACAAGCAAGTATGCGCCCGCTTCTGGAATCTGATTGACATTGGGTAGCCGCCCATGACCGGTGTGCGCACGACCAATGGTGAGCTCGAGGCTATATTAATCCGGTCCTACGCGCCGACGCGAGCACGCTGCTCGCGCTCGGAGCCGCCGCGTAACCCTATCCCATCTGCGGCGCCGAGCCACCAACAGCGCTGTACGTACACATCCACATTTGTTCTCATGAAATACTGGCGCCACGGCGCGGCATGCTAACGATGACCGCCGTCGTTATCTGTCATAGTGAAACCGGCAGCAGCGGCAGCCCTTGGCGAATGCTGATGCAGTCGTTTGCCTGCCATTCGGTCATGGTCGCACACAGGAGAGTTTTAACCGCAACGAGGACAACATATCCGTTCCTTCCCCGCCAGAATGTACATCTCCGCCGCTCCCGCCCACGCGCGTGGATGCGCGTGTTGCAGGGTCCGCGTCTTCCATACCGTCGAACCCATTGCGATACGCAATATGGAGCGCTGTCTGGCACCCACGATGCCCGCAAGGATGAGAAATGACGTCGTCAAGGGTTGATGGAAAAGTGAGTGGTACGTCGTTGTCAACTTACCTACTAGGTTTTCTCATAACGCGTTCCGAGATACCCGGCTATCGGGTATCTCGCTATGGTCTCCCATTACCAAACCATTGTCAAAATATTTGAATTTGCGCCAGAATACAAGATGTCAAATGTCCCCGCCCGAGGATGTCGTACTTGCATAATAGACTGGACTGTGTCACTCCATTCAATGCTCGCCATATAAACTCTCGAGGTCGTGCATCGTGCAGATACAGATCCTCTTCGTCAGCGTTTACTTACCACAACGAATTCACTCCCGTCGATCATGACAGAATCCACTTCACAGATGCAACCGCGAATGCAAATTCAAACCGCGGCATTACATACTGCCGAGCGCACCACTTCTTCGGGCATTTCAAACCACTGACAAGCACCGCCGTCGAAAAGGCTCACTCCATAATGCATCACTGTCTCTACAGCGTGGGCGATGTCGAGTAACATGCGGACGTGCTCGGTGTCTGTCTGCATGCGCACCGACGCGCGAATCCCAGGTTGCGATCGTAGGCGAGCCCCGGGCCTTCTTAGCCCAACCTTGTCACCGCGAACGCGCCGCATCACGTTCCTGCCTGTTTGCGGCCCCAAGCTTCCCCTTCGCACGTGGGGCTTCCCACTTCAGACCTCTCCCTGCTTCTTTCCCGCCATGGACATTGCATCGCCCCATGGGTGTACACGGACGCAATACGCTCGCAACTGCTGAGCCAACATCGCGGACCTTTCACGGGCACTGCACGCGTTATGTCCCCGAGCCCCAGGCGGAGCGGGATTATGAACTTCGACTCCAAGCTGGAATGCATTCCGTCTTCTGTCTTCTGTCTTCTGTCTTTCTGCTAGGCTCCAGTGCCCACGATGCGCACAGCCATGACCCTATGCCTCCGGGAGCCTCGTACCATCTATCTCGCACCGGCGTGGGCCTAGTCTGCGCGTGCAGTTCCGCCTGCACTACGCCACCGCTGGAGACCCGCCCTAATACAGCGTTCGGCAGATGCTCGCTGCCGCTCGGGATGAATTGCTTGCAAATCATTGCCGCATATGGCGTGCGGTCTACTACCTGCTCTGTCTGCCCCTGGGTGTTTTTGCCTTGCCGATCCTCTTGTGTCCCCCGCATCCCCGCGGAGTCCGCTATCGTATTATTGCTGATCCCACCCGCACATCTTCTGATCATGATATGCCTGCCGCTGTGAATGCGGCGATTCTGACTGTCTGGCCAATCCGCCGGGCCCCGACGTCCGGCCTGCTGTCGCGAGCTCGCTGCCAGTGCTGCTGCTTTACATCGACTTTATCGCGTCAGAGAAGAGCGTCTCCGCTCTTTGAGTTCTGTGTGATTGATTATGTCGGGGAAGATTGCATTGAGTATTGGGCGTTAGGGACAGCCGGACAGAGCAGGCGCCGGTACGATGTCCTGCGGAAGGTGCCTGTGCCTATGTCAACAGTCAATGTGCCTGAACACAAGTTGCGCGATTTAGTAAGAATTGTCCCTCCTGTACTCCGAAGGCGGTTTGTGCGGGAGCCCTCATGTTCGTGGACTTTTAATGTCGACATGTGCCCCAGCCACCGTGTCGCTGAGGCGGACGCTCCACGATTGCCAAAAGCCAACAAAGCGCTCATCGAGGGAGTGATGGACTTGAAATAGTAATCCCCATCAGATCCGCAAGCACATGTGGGCGATCGTGGATAATCCCGCCCCACTTTGTGACTGTGACAGCAACAATAGGTTCCGTCGGGCGCTACAGGCCTCATCTGGCCAATGAGAAAACGCAAAAATCTGACTAATGAGCTGTGACAATAACATTTAAACTCAGCGGCCAAATCAAGGGGGTCTGTGATGCGTGACTGAGTGAGGATCACAGCATTCGTCGTTCTTGAACGGCCTAGCCCTCTTCCCGCTTTTCATCTTCTCAAAAAATTCAGATCCTTTCACGCGCGTACGCCTCAAGTCATGCTCATTGATGTCACAATGCTGAGCACCCGGTGGACGGCGAGCGGAATGTTTCGGAGCGTGCGGCGGGTTTACGACAATCAAAAGTCGTACTCCATGGGCCATGCGGGTGCGGCGCTGGGTCTCTTGGAGGAGGTCATCGATGACAAGCCCGCGACTTTGTACGTGTATGTTCTTCTCCCGCAGGAGAACATCCTCTTCTCTTCACAATCTCAATTCCGATGCGCGCAGGGTCAGCAGGCTCAAGCTAGAGCCATACAAGTCTATCTCATCGGCCCCAGGCTTGTCCCGCAGGTATATATTGAGTGACAGTAATCGGCTCGGCGCACGATTCGCAGGCCGCGGGAGAATTTGACCGAATCGACGGGTACAGCAGACCTCAGGGCGACAGGTGGAGGCGAGGTGGGCGTTGCTGCTGACACCGTGTCCATGTCAGCAGCTGCCAACGCTGGCAGAGCCGAACAATGTTCGTCCAATGCTGTCCAGTCCGAGCTATGGCCGAGCCTCTTGCTCGCTTTCTGTGGGCAAGACACTAGCCAGCCAAGCGGACAAAGTCCGTCATTCGGACACGTTCTAGACACGCTGCGGATACCATACGATACGGACAGTGCCTTCAAATGATGTTAGGATCACCGAAACCCTTCCGGACGGTGCCATCATCCCAAGTTGGTGTAATGTCTGGAGCCCAGTCCACTCTCCGAAATCTCCCCAACCTTCCGGGCTCTGCAGGCGGGCCAGTCAAAGGGCGCCATCATCCGGTTTCACCAATGCTGAGGGTCCCTCACCTCCTCCGGATGACAGGGGGAGCCCTGAAGAGAATGGCCGACTGCGGTATAGGTGTCTGACTTGGAGAGGCTTCCGGGGTCCGCGTTCGGGCGTGACATGCCCGGTTAGGAAGGAGACCTTCCTGATGCAGCCCAGCCACCCTTGGGCCAGAGAGCGCTCTTCAGCAGTGCCGCTATTTTGCGGTTCTTGGCGGCGAGTGCGAAGAATTCCATGTGTTATTCTGGTGTTTCAACCTTACGCAAAGCACGCCTTCACGCCTCTGCTGCCGCCCCTGTGCCGTCTTCTATCGTGTTGTTGCGTGGTGTCTCGCCTTGACTTCGCCAATCATTTCTCACTGGATTCTATCGAGACGAAATAGCGCCCCCCCCCCAAGATTAGGTAAATAAGGTGCTGGAGCCGCGGTCGTGACGACGGCGGGACCCCGACGAACTGAGGCTCTTTGAATCAGCGATTCAGCGAACCACACAGGCGTTCAACAACTGCCCCTCGAGGAAGTCGTTCCGAAAAGACAGCCCAGAGCGTCGAATCCGGCAACTTGGGCATATCGACAATATTACCGCTGAACAGGCACATTGAGCGCGGGTATTCAACGGATCATCCATCGGTGCCTCGTCCATAACACCAACAACGCAGAATCGCAGTAGAATTGCCCCGCCCGGCCGCTGCTGTTGTGCTTCCGATAGGGCCCTAGGAACAGTGCGAACGAATGTGCAGTCTGGCCTCTTGTGAAGGGCAATTTGCAAGTCCGAGACCCTGAAGTGACGTGCCAGACCAGATCCATCAAGGCGATGCGTGTTGGTCGGCGCCAGCGGCAGGGTTCCTGACAGAAATCTGCACAGCACCGTTCTCTTGTCATGTCAGGCAACCTGGTCCGAGGCGATAGCGCGAACCAACGTTCTGGCATGCAAATGCCTCCCTCCCGCCGCGGGCTGATACTAATACCTGGGTGGGCGGTCTGTAAAGAATCCTTAGCCTCCAGCCCAGGAAGGCCCGCCCACCCTCCTTCATCCCGCCGTCCGCTGCCCCCTGCGTCCTGTCCTCTGCCATGTCTGCGTCCTCATCATCCTCAACACACAGCTCCAGCCGTGTGCCGCCGTCACCTACAGCGGGCACTCAGCGGGAGCCGCTGCAGCCGCCAAAGCCGGTGTTCTTCATTGACAGGCAGGCCGGCGAGAGCCCTAGCGAGGTCCGCCGCGACCCCTTCCGCACACCTGATGTGTCTGTCCCGGGCACACCCCGGGAAGAAGACATCACGAACCCGTTCTCGCCGCCCGCCAGCGTCATCAGCTTCAGTGCCGAGCAGTCCGTGCCCGGAACCGCCAGCATCCACCGTCCTCGTCTTGGCAGTAGCGGCAGCTCAGAGGGCGCACTTTCGCGCGTTCAGTCCAGTGGCGTCTCCCTCCCATCTGCCTTGCGTCGCTCCGCCGTGGCCAATAGCCAGGACGATGGCAGCATGCAAATCTCGGAGGGCCCGCGCGCAAGTCGGCCACACTTCGACTCGCCGATCCGCAGCTCATTCATGTCCCCGCCCGCGATGTCACGACGCACGACAGTGTACGACTCGCGCGAATTCACGGGGCGTGTCACGGCGAAGCGCGCGCGCTCGACCATGCTGACGCAGGAGATCGAGAAGCCATGGATCAAAGAGAAGGACATCTATGCGCGCATATCGTGGTGGCTCACGTGGGCAGTCGCGTTCCTCGGCGTTGCGGGTGGTGCGGTGCGGTGCTACTTTTCGTGGAAGGACGTGCCGCGCGTCGGTAACCTTTGTCTCATCATGGAGGACGACTTTGCCACCTTCGACCTCGAGAACACCTGGACGCGCGAGGTCGACATGGGCGGCTTCGGGTATGTCATTCCTGTTAAAAATTGTGCTTGTGCATTCGATCTGATCCCGATGTACCTCAGCAACGGCGAATTTGAAATGACGACCGACTCGAGCAACAATTCATTCGTCAAAGATGGGAAGCTGTACATCGTGCCCACACTGACATCCGATGTCATCGGGTATGATAACGTCCTAAATGGCTACACCTACAACATTTCTGGCTGCACGAGCACCAATTCCACATCGTGTGGGGCGGTGTCTAATTCGACTGCAGGCACTGTCATCAACCCGGCAATGAGTGCGCGCATCTCTACACGCAACAGCCACAGCATCAAGTACGGCAAGGTCGAGATTGTCGCGAAGATGCCTGTCGGCGACTGGCTGTGGCCCGCTTTGTGGATGCTTCCGGTGAAGGAAACGTATGGGCCCTGGCCCGCATCGGGGGAGATCGATATCGTAGAATCGCGCGGCAACAGCATCAATTACGCTGCGCAGTTCGTGTTCTAATTTCAAGCACCTTGTCACTATAGCTCACTTCAGTTCGATCTTTACAGGGGCCAGAATGTCGTGCGGGCATCGCTCAACTGGGGTCCGCTCAGCTTCTTGAATGGTGTTGCAAAGACATACGGGTGGTGGTCTGATCGACGCTCGACGTACGCAGACGGGTTCCACACGTACGCGGTCGAGTGGACGCCCACATTCATCCGGATGTACGTCGACACGCGGCTTGACCGGATGCTGCAGGTCTCGTTCAACGAGCCATTCTTCACCCGCGGCGACTTCCCTGAGACGATCCTTAACGGGACGCAGTACATCGTGACGCCGGACCCGTGGGTGAACGGCACGCGCAATGTTGCGCCGTTTGACCAAGACTTCTATCTTATCATGGACGTTGCGGTCGGCGGCACGAACGGGTGGTTCCCGGACGGTGTCGGGAACAAGCCGTGGCTGGACGCGTCGACCGGTGCGTAATCTATATTCTATCTGATGCGTTGTGCGCGCGCTGACATGTGGTATAACCAACAGAGGCGATGCTCGACTTCGCGAGGGCGCAGAATACGTGGTACGCGACATGGCCGGAGGACATCGATCAACGTGCGATGATCATCGACTCGGTGAAGATGTGGCAGTCATGCTAGACGCGCCACGGGCTGCATTCTAGTACACATGATTTGGACTGTCGTGGGTGGGTATTCTCTATTTCCCTGTTTTTTGTCTACCATTCTGGGGATTTCGTGGAACATATGTCGACCTTGCAATAATTACTCCAGTGTCGTTGTGTTTGTGGTGCTTTTCATCTATAGACGCTGTGCACCGGCCAACTCGTGTACTTATACCTCTCATAGATCACTGTAGCTACACTGATTAGTGGGTCTGCGTGGCGGCCGCAGAATCACATATCTATACGCTTGATTATTATATGCGTACAAGGGGCGTTTGGGTGGACGTGTATCTGTTGACCGGCGCGCAAATAGATATGGGAGCGCGATGTGATAATTATCGGGAAATGTCCGACTGATCCTAGAGCAAGTCTGAGTCAATAAGACGATACAGACATGGTAGGCCACGGAGTAGTATGGGTTGGTATCAGAAAAGTGTTATCAGCCCAAGCGTCGCGATTCCATATTTTGGAAGCAATTACATCTCGTCCACAGGGAAGTTTGTTGACGGAGATAGTTATGGAAATCATAGAACTATGCGCCCTGACAAGGGTAATGGTGGACCAATGGTGGCGATGGTGACAGGGGTCAAAGCGGCGCACTTTCATCGCGCTTAGTGTGGCTGGTGCGGCGCGCCTCCGACTTCATCAGAGTTCATCTTTGCCCAAGTCGGCGCCCATGGCCTGCAGTTTGCGGCACAGGACCGCCCACAATGCGCGCTCTGATCGTGGATAGATATGCGCCCTTCAGCCTCCAGAGTCCCACCCAACACATTGCGAAAAATCAAAACACAGTTGAGTGGCGGCAGGTGTTTGCATACTGCCGAAGGTGTGGCTATGTGTCAGCCAGCTACCAAAGTTACATTCATCATGGCTATGAAGTTACATCTTGCCCACGTTCAGCCATATGTTCCATCATGTTCCTATTGACTTTTACCCACTGCGCGGACGGGGTCATCAAGATAAACAGGCTTGGTATCAATTTGCGAACTCAGTAGATACGGTGTTTCCACGCTGGGTCAAGCTGTCCTTCCCGAGATAGCTTGAAATGGCCGTTTCTCTTAAAGAAGCGCCACAGTGGTTCACGCGACGGCTATAGCCTAGCAGCAATATCATGGGTGAGAACACGCCACAACTGCCCTGCGATGTGCCAGCCATTCTAGATGCGCCGGTTCGAAGTGGTCTTCTGATAGACAGTCGTGCACAGAAAAATGGAAATGACTTATCGACCTGAGAACAGGCAAGGTCAGCAGCATCGTCAACGGGATGCATTGGCACCACAGTCTCGTCAAGACAAGTATGAGAAGGAATCTCACACACAATGTAGTATCCCAGGACTATGAGCCTCGGCCACTCTCGCCATGTTTCTTATCCCTTTACTTGCGGGCTCTGTGCGAAGTGCTCATCCTTCGCGACTTGTGCCTGAGGCACCGATCCTCCGGCCGAATTCGACCTGATCAGATTGTTCAAAAGATCGTCCACGCGCTCTTCAGGAGGGTTCGGTCGCTCAGCACGTAAGCAGATGCACAGCCATGGCAGGTACCAACGGCATCCGGGGACTTGTCGAGCACCTTTTTGTGCTTGGGAAGGCCGACGTCCCGGCACGGATGCAATGGCTATCACGATAACCAGAAGCGTGCAGTGCACTTTGAGCGGGTCGACATGCGGAGCGCCGTGCAAGGCACACATTCACTACGCACACCGGCTGTTCCTAAGGAATGCGACAAGCAGTATCCCAACAGGTCCTACCACCTGCAACTGCAGCCGTCAGGAAGTTGTTTATCAAAGAATACCGAGAAGCGTGGACAGCAGTGAGAGAAGAACACAGTGGAGTGGGCTTGTGAGGAAAATCAAGATGAACAGTACTTGCTTCAGGGCATCATCGGTGACTTGGACACAGCAAGGTCTATTTCAGAATGACATGTTGTGTCCTCTATTGGATTTTCGTGTCGCATCACCGTGCGCGAAGGGTACACATAAGCTCTGGTGGGGCCCGTCGAACAAACTCACCGGAAGATCACGTCCTAATTTTAGCGAAGTCCGCACTAGAGGCATTTGCCCTGTCTCATGCCCTACGAGGGTGTTCAAGTTCAGCGGGTTGACGATGTCTGGTACAATGCATATTCTATACGTGTCAGATACCGCCGGTCCTTGAGATGGAGCCTGGACCGGGACGTTGGATAGAAATATCATTGGACCACCTGCTGAAAGGTACGGGAACCATACCGGTACGAGTATCCAGAACGCGAGAAGCAACCCTCAGGGTCGTCTGCAGCCGAATTAATGCATCCGGTTACTCGCTAGGTAAGGGTAACACCCATCGTATTCACCTTGCGTCATACGGCGTGGCCAACTGGTTGCCTACTTTGCGAAGTCACGAGTAGCAACAGTGCCGAGAACGCATGTCCATCTTGAAGACCCCGGCCTTCTGCATGGTCACAGCGAAGGAGAAACTGCGGTCTTGAACGTGCATCAGACGGTATCTGTACTTCTGGATTTCTCTATGAGGCAAGGGCCGCGGCTACGTACTTGAAATTAGCCTCACAGCTCAGACGGGAAGCAAGAGACGCATACGTACCTCCAGTAGTGCCCGAATCCCGATCACAGTTTGCCATATTCGAGGGTGAAGTCTCTACGGAACAAAAGGTATGCACGTCCAGTACCTCGTCCATCCTCGTGAGATCCTGCAGACACATAGCTCAAGTTTGTGTATAAACATCGCCTTCCGGCAGGATTAGAGAATACCACCAGCGCTCCGTCTAACCGTACATTGTGTTAATGTAGCAATATCATGGTACAGACTTTATCGAAGGGCCCTCCAGACAGGGCCTATATCTTGTTTGGCTCCTTGGATTCGTTGCTAAATGTATGTTTCCACGATCAAGAAAAACAGGGAGGATATCCTGTCTCAGAGCCGGACAGGGCGTGAGTGCAATTTTTTCGTACATCTGAGAAGACAAAGATGTAGAACTCACGGAAGAGGACGTTATCGTGCCCCCATGGTGCGCGGGCGCTGGATATTGTGCAGGCTGTAGTCTCCTGTGAGCAGAGTAGATAATTCCTTCAACCTGCGCGGGCTACGGATATCCTTATCTGACGTCTGCTATCCAAAGAGCTGTCTTACGGTAAGGTCGGTATCGATGGTCGATTGCCGTGTTCCCGCCACCCGGCATATCACGCGGGTGTACACACATACACAAGCAACGCGCATCTGCGCCGGCCTCAGACGCCTCGCGCTCAGGCGCTTGATGTTATTCTGGGCAAGAGACCTTCGTTTCGATGATATAGAAATCCCCTGCTACCTCCTTCCAATCATGTATTTATGGTCAAGTATTTTTAAAAATAGATGTCTCATATTGCGCCATCTGTCGACCGGCCGGCTGTATTACTACACGATTGGACCTCGTTAGCAGTTCTCCTCTAAGGCTGCGAAGACTCGTCGAAACCTCTCTACGCTACGCTCCCATCATTTGAAACTGTACAACTCTGCGTGCATTCTCCAAAGCAATCATTGCCATTGTATAGATAATAGTGCAGCGACAAGGCGAAAGTAGCAGGCGCACCTTAAGCACCACACGACGGGTGCGATCAAACGGTTCGGCCTCCGCCGCTTCCTCGCACTCAGATTTAGAGCGCCGCTCAAAAAACCCGACCTCACGGTAAGTGACGCGTTGGATCGTAGACGAGCAGGCTGTCCACATTGTGAGTTGTGGCCACCAAAATTTCGGATTACAGGCTTACAGCGGGTCGGATTTCCTCTTGAGGTTCGGCCTCTTGCCAGCCTGGCGTTGTATCCCCTGCACTAACAGCAAGTGTTGATACCGGATCAAAAGGCACTGAGACAGCGTTGGTATAAAATTAGCTGGGGTTTTTCTGATTCTGCGAGCTTCGTTAGTTAAAAATCGCGTTGTTTGAGAAGACTGACGACGAGCAAAAAGCGACACCAGCAGGACTCGAACCTGCGCCCTACAAGAGGAACAGATAACTCAGCCGTAATTCGAATCTGTCGCCGTAACCACTTGGCTATAGTGCCTTTAAGCGCTCATTTGAGCGCATATGATCCATCGATGCATAGGAAGTGCACTGCAGTTGACCCTTACACAATCTCATGTTCTGTGGCGGGCGAGGCGTAGGTCCCACATTCTCAGGGATTTGCCCTTAGTAATATTGTGCGGCTGGTGTGCGATTACACTCATCATGTGGCCTCGCTAAGCGCTATACAACTGACAGACTCGGAAGTACTGATGGCAACATACATCACAATGCAAGACATGCTGCTAGATAGTCCGGAGTCCACCGTCTCGTCTCACGTTGACTGTGGTTGCGACCATCCGACTTGAACTGCATTTCTGCTAGTTCAGCGATCTGTTCCGACATGGTTAAGTTGTGCATTACATCGTCTATCCAACTATCAAGCGGTATGTTATCCAGGTTCTGCGCGCAGGTAAATACTCAATTGATATCAACGGGCAGGGTATGAGATGCCCCTTCTCGGACTGGGGGTGTTTCAGAACGATGATTGTATACCTGCGTGTCTCGCTGCACTCAGACACGGCTACAGGTACCTTGAAGTCGGTTCGTTTGTCATATCCATTCATTGGCGTTTCCAGGCACATAGATTCTGCGCGTGTCTACCGCAATGAGGCGCAGGTCGGCGAAGCTGTGCGCCAGAGCGGCGTACCTCGCGGGGATATCTTCGTCAGTGCGTAGCTGTCACCGTTGCAGATCTGAATAGCACAGATGAACATTCGTGTGCCTGACATGACGTACCTTAGCTTCTAAGATCATACACAGCGACTACGGCTACAATAGCACGCTGAGTGCAATCGACGAGTCGCTTCAGCGCTTCGGCTTCGGTTTGTGACCATTAATCCCGTATATGGGAATATCTGGTGACGAACTACCATTCATAGACTATCTCGATTTATTCCTCATCCACAGCCCGCACTCCGGCAAGGCACGCCGCCTCGAGACTTGGAAGGCGCTTGTTAAAGCCAAAGAAGATGGCAAGCTGCGCACCATCGGTGTCTCAAATTAGTGCGTTTGGTGCTCTTGTCATGTAGTCCATTTTCTATCGTTTTCATGCTCCTTCGCACCTGCAGCAGCGTGCACCACCTCGAAGAGATCCGCGAGGCCGGGCTCGAGACGCCCTCCGTGAACCAGATCGAGGTGTGTCCGCCATTTGTCTCCTATCCTTTCTGCGCTCTTCGATGTGCTGAATGGGTACAGCTGCAACCGTTCTGCCAGCAACGTCCCATAACCGAGTACTGCGAGAAGAACAACATCGTCGTGCAAGCGTACTGTCCACTCGTGCGCGGGCGCTTCGATAACCCCGCGTTGCAGGAGGTCGCTGCAAAGGTGCGTGTTTCTGCATCGTATGCTCCCGACAAGGTGCCCACATAGACTCGTCGTGCAGTACGAGAAGGACGTAGCACAGGTGCTTGTGCGGTGGTCGCTACAGCGCGGGTACGCAGATATTCTTAGTCAGAGCGATAATCATTGTGGCTTACTGGGCTTGATATGTAGCTACAGCCCGCTACCAAAGTCCTCACAGCCGGCACGTGTCGTGTCGAACGCTGACTTGTATGACTTCGAGCTCGCTGCAGAGGACATGGCTAAGCTTGACGCGCTCGACCTGGGCTCGCGCGGTGCGATCAGCTGGAACCCTGTCGATGTGGAGTGAGCGGAGGCTGCGAGTTCATCCTTCTTCAAATATTCTGTTTGATCCTATATAGAGCAAGTAAGTGATTGTAACCGTAGGAAGATGCAGTTAGAACGTTCCACTGCCATCGTGAAGGCGATGTACTCATTCTTCACCCGGATATCCGCTGTCTCAGTTAGACCGCAATGTGTTGTGTGCCAGTTCAGACTGCGAGGATAAGGAGCACTTGAGGGAGAGAATAGTGGCTTTAAAGTATCGGGCTCGTCGAGGGACATTTATATCAATAGAGAATGGAGACTGAAAGCTTTTGGGATGAAATTCTCATCGCATTCAGGTGAGATCTGGGTCGATATCATTTACACTGTTGTCAAAATGCCTTGTCGAGTTTGCTGCTTTTTCCACATTCATGACTTTATCATTTCAGTGCCATGAGGGCATCCGTAGGGACTATATACGCTCTCATAATCTTTTCTGGGATTTCAATTCTGAATGTGGAAGGTTGTATAAGGCGGTTTGAGCAAGTCTATGCCTTGAGCAACTCTATACCACCCATAGTATACATACCAGGATGATGGATGCGGCAACTTGCAAAGGAAGTTTGCAGGATATCGTCATGTACACATAATCTTACCCTTGTAAATATCATCAGGCCTGGTCACAAGTCGAATTGAAATTTGGTTATATTTGGTTATATTCTCTGAGGTTAGGTCTATATCACGTGCGGGCGCTCCGAGAAATCCCTGCCAGGTGAGCTGCATTTGCCCGCTTGCTCTTTAGCCATTTGCTGGTAAGCAAACAATACCTTGTCTTGGGCAACAACTGCAGTCTTGGCCAACCTGCAGTGCACTAGGTGGTGAACATGGGGGTGCTTCGCCATGTCTTGCCGACGTGCAGACTGCGTCTTGCTAGTCTTGCTGGACGATCATGGTCATGTACAGCCAGACGGAATGCTGCAACAGCCGCTGCAGTCGCAGAGAGGCCAGCGGAGGAGCTGCCTGCGGTAGAGGCCTACCCTCTCTCGGACCAAGACTTGCGAAGACTCAGGTTTCAGCGGAATATTGGCGTGTCCGCTCACATAGACTCGGGGAAGACGACTCTGACGGAGCGTATACTTTATTACACCGGGCGAATTCGTGAGATTCACGAGGTGGGTCCTGCACATTCTTGCTACTAACAGTTGTCATGACACGTACCTTGTATGCAGGTCCGAGGCAGGGATAATGTTGGGGCAAAGATGGACAGCATGGACCTTGAGAGGGAGAAGGGTATCACTATCCAGAGTGCGGCAACATTCTGTGACTGGGTAGCAACTATGCCTGCTACTGGCGAGCGGGAAGAATATGCTATTAACATCATTGACACACCAGGTGGGCGCTATATTCTTGTGCGGAGCTTTGCGCAGGTGTGCACCCACTTCAGGCCTGAACTCCTGGCCTTCTGCGTGAATAATACATGTCTAGCGGGTAGCACCTATAGCAGAGGGTGCTCGGTACACATCTGGACCGTACAAGCTTGCTGCACATCTTATGCCTCAGTAAAGGAATTATGTGAACTAACGATTACTTAGGTCACGTTGACTTCACCATTGAAGTCGAACGGGCTCTGCGTGTCTTGGACGGTGCCATCCTGGTCTTGTGTGCGGTTTCCGGCGTCCAGGTGCGGCGATTGCGGTCTTAACGCGAACCATTCTGAATTATTTGTCTGCAGAGCCAAACAACCACGGTTGATCGGCAAATGCGACGGTATAATGTTCCTCGGATATCGTTTATCAACAAAATGGATAGACCCGGTGCGAACCCATGGCGGGTCATTGAGCAAATTCGGACAAAGCTGCATATACCGGCTGCTGCCGTACAGGTCCCGATCGGTGTCGAAGACGAACTCAAGGGTGTCGTAGACCTCGTTCGGTGGAAGGCCGTCTACAACGAAGGCGAGAAAGGCAACAATCTCGTCGAGTCGGACGAAATTCCCGCAACGGTTCTGGAACTGGCAAAGGCGAAGCGTCGCGAGCTCCTCGAGCAGCTTGCGGACGTCGACGACGAGATAGGCGAGATGCTGATCATGGACGAGGAGCCGAACACGCAGCAGCTTGCTGAGGCGATTCGGCGAGCGACGGTTGGGCTGAGGTTCTCGCCGGTCTTCATGGGCTCCGCAGTGAAGAACATGTCGGTACAGCCGCTGTTGGACGGCGTGTGCGCATACCTGCCGATGCCATCCGAGGCTGACGTCGTCGCTCACGACACATCCCTGCCTACGGACGCGCCAATGGTACCCCTCGTACCAGCCTCAGGTGCCCCACTGGTCGCACTCGCGTTCAAGCTGGAGGAGGGCCGATTTGGACAATTGACGTACATGCGAGTTTACCAGGGTACCATGCGCAAGGGTCAATTTATCTACCACGGGCGCACGGGCAAGAAAGTCAAGGTCCCCCGCTTGGTGCGGATGCACAGCAATGAGATGGAGGTGCGTAGCCCGCCGCGATGGAGAACCTGGTCTGATGCGTGGCGTTGTACAGGACATTGAAGAGATCGGCCCTGGTGAAATTTGTGCTATCTTTGGTGTTGACTGTGCGTCCGGCGACACGTTCACTGATGGTTCGACGAGCTACTCGATGGTCAGTGACAACAACGGTGTGCAGACTATTGGCTAATATCATTCCCCGCAAGACCTCGATGTTTGTCCCGGAGCCTGTGATCTCCCTCGCTTTGAAGCCCGTCGGTCAAGAGACGCCTAACTTCTCTCGTGCCCTGAATCGATTCCAGAAGGAAGACCCGACTTTCCGCGTGCACATCGACAAGGAGAGCAAGGAGGTACGTCGCTCTTCATGACTCACTACGATTCGCTGTCGACATGGCCGCCGTAGACTATCATTTCCGGTATGGGAGAGCTGCATCTAGAAATTTACGTCGAGCGGATGAAGCGCGAGTACAACGTGGAGTGCACGACGGGCAAGCCGCGCGTCGCGTTCCGCGAAACGATCACCCAGCGTGCCGACTTCCACTATACGCACAAGAAGCAGACGGGCGGTGCAGGTCAATACGCGCGTGTCATTGGGTATGTCGAGCCGATGGAACCCGACCCGAAGACAGGCAAGGACGTTGCGTTCGAGAACTTCGTCATGGGTGGCAACATCCCGTCGAGCTATATCCCTGCGTGCGAAAAGGTGGGTTCATACGCGAAGCCGGCGACGCGCAGCTAACGCTTCCTGCAGGGTTTCTATGAGGCGTTGGAGAAAGGTAGCTTGTCGGGTAACCCGGTCTCTGGGTCACGGCTCGTGCTGCAGGATGGTCTTGCGCATTCAGTCGACTCGTCCGAACTGGCGTTCAGGCTTGCGGTGATTGGCGCATTCCGCGAGATCTACGCGAAGACGAAGCCGGTCATCCTCGAGCCCATCATGAAGGTCGAGGTCGTCGCACCGTCAGAGTTCCAGAGTGAGTGCTGTGATCGTTAGAATTAAGTGATGACTTACGCAGCATGTGTCCCCCTTACTTCCAGGTGCTGTTATTGGAGGGTTGAACCAGCGACGGGGCACGATCACGGACAGTGAGGTTCGCGAAGATGAGTTCACGGCCATCGCTGAGGTCGCGCTGAACGATATGTTCGGCTACTCGAGTCACCTGCGTGGCGTCACCCAGGGCAAGGGTGCGTGATAGAAGTCTGAACCCTTCCGTATTCTGCTGACGATCTGCGGCATTTACAGGCGAGTTCAGTATGGAGTACAAGGTCTGTCGACAATCCCCTCGCGGCATGCGTACCTATACCGACTGACCGCATCCCTACAGTGCCACCAGCCGGTGCTCCCGAATATCCAGAAGGAGCTCGAGGACGCGTACAAGAAGACGTTGCCACAGTCAAAAAAGTAAATTGAAACTTAATGGGTACTAATTTAGACGCGCTTTCGGTTTATCACTCAGCATTTCCTATGTTATGACATCACGCTCTGATCTGTAGATGAACTGATTTCTAAGTGTTGTTGCACGAGGCTAACGCGTTGATAGCGCTTGTTGTGGGTGAGTCTAGGTGCCACGTTAGTTCGACATATAACGCCTGTCTCGCGCTCGAATTGCGGCGCAATTAGCGACCGCAATTGATGTAGGGTCAGCGGCTTTTCAGTTGCGCTGTCATATACTGGCACGCCTTGCACCCTCTACTTTACTCGCGACACATTATATTTGACCCAGCAATCTCCTTAGCAAGTGAGATGCGTAAAGAAGCAGTTGCTTTCAACTTGACTGTCCAAATCGAACCATCGCGGATAGTGCGATAGCCGAGTTTCAAATGACAACGTCAAGACACCGCACGCTACCGCTGTACAAACACGACGCCTCGGTCTGAGAGATTGAGGTTTGATATAAAGAGGCCTGGGAGGCTTGGAGGGCGTGGGAGATCTAGTTATCCCCAAGTGAGTAGCAACTTACGGTGTGCGTCTCGAATACAGTCAACTTGTCATCTTTAACAATTTTCTTGCTATGCTGGTCGAGAAATGCTTCACCGGGCAAATCCACCAATACCGATTTCCATATTTGCTAATTCGTGAGGCAAATTTGCTAGTCTTTTGTGATACTCAATCGTGCTTATGCGAGCAACAAAGATTAAAGCTCGGCTCTGAGACTCCTCACTGAAATAGCGGTACCGACTTGAGGGGACAATGATGTGGATCGGAAATGTTAGAGCAAACGCACTGCATTCTTTCCCTTCCTTCAGACATGCCGGCGATGCTGGAAATTCCGCATACTTCGCTCATAACAGGTCAGAGGTGCGCAAACGTTTTTAATTCCGAAGACGATGCACAGATTGTCCAATATATACCATGATTGTAAGGGGCACCGGCGAAGCGCATACCAAGCATGATCGCAGATGAGACATTACATGCTCTTGATCCGATCGATCTTCATGGGCATTTCGGGTTTGCTACTCGCACCTATTGTCGGATACTGGATTTCTGCCGAGTTCCAGACAATGTCCTTGGTGGATAGCGAAAACGTGAACGACGAAAGCAGCACGGCCAAGACAACCTCTGAGAATCAAATTGTCAGACAGTGGGGAATTCCAGAAGACTGAAGTACGCACTCATCTCCGTCTGAGAGAACTTGAATCCGCTGTAATCCTGGTGAGCGAACCGCAAAAAGCGCAAAAATCTTGGAAAACTTACATGCAGGCACTGCCACCACCTAGGAAGGTCATCCTTGGAGGGGGATCATTTCAGCAAGTCTGTTATATTGCAGACGCATGATCACCTACAAGTGCGAATACACTCCTGGAACGCGCGCTGCATTGACAGTATCTGGCAGAGGGGCAAGCCAGCGCTCGGGCTTCCACACAGCTGCATCAGGACCCCACAACACTGGGTTTCTGTTGGACGCAAGGATACCGACGATCACTTCCGTTCCTTTAGGCACAGGAATCTCGCTCATATAAGTACCATCCGTGCCGCGGATAGGCTGGGAGAGTGGCATCACAACGTCTTCCCGAGTTCTAAGAAACAATTACACGATCGGTCCCAGCACCGAGCTTGTCGCAATCGTCCTCTGCGTTACTTACTTTCTGTTGACAATAGTGACAGGAGCATGACTAATGCAAGAATCAGCGGGAATGCAGATGCAGCAACACTAGATCGTGAGATCACTCACAGTCGAAGCGTTTCGCGGCAGACGGCGTCGAGATACGGCAGGTCGACCAATGTGTCATATGGGATCTCCTGCTCGCCGCCCTGAGCCTCCAGAATCTCTGCTCGCAACTTGTCCTGCACGTCGGGGCGTTCTGAAAGTAGCTGCAGTGTATGAGCGAGAGCGCCGGAGGTAGTATCCATGGCGGCGAAGATGAAAGTCCTATGCGACTCTTCAGCACGATACATTTATTGCCCTGGCGGATGGCTACGCACGACATTTGACCCAACAGCTCATTCTCTGAGAGGCGATCTTCTTCGGACGCAGCCATGTTCGCTTGCACTATCGGGGCAATCTGTAAGTTGTGGCCCCCCTGCCAGGGTGATGCGAACTCACTCAGTCTACTGAGAATATCTTTGCCTTCACCCACTTGATTGAGCACAGCCTCATCGCCTTGGGCCAATGCCTGCTTCTTCTGCTCAAAGATACGCTTCGAATGGGCATCCATTGCATCGCTAATCTCCCTCATGCGTTGCAGACGCGTACTCGGGATCAGTTCGAGGATATGTGCCTATCTTCATAACAAACGGCAGGAGGGGTCGGTACATTCTCAACGTGAACGCCGTGGGTCTATGGGGTGTTCAATTAATACGCATACCGCATATTCGACGGAGAGGAACGATTGAACATACATCAGTGCCTTGAGGGCCTCTGCGTACGCATCGGCCTTGTCTCGAATGAGTGGATCAAAAGAGTATCCAAGGCCGGCTTGTCCGACAAGTTCGAGCGCTGTACGAGCCATCCAGTCAAGAATATCGATGTCTTGCGCTCCACTGTCTACACGGGATGCGATGGCGTCCGGAAGCTATCAATAACGCATGAGGCGGTTGCAGTATCGCATGAAGGCTGAGTAACTCACATCGTGTGTAATCCTGTAGAATATCGGCATCATCTCTCGCATGTGACCGACGGAGAAGACAGGATTCATGAGCTTGCGCTGTTTGCGGTGGCGCTCCCCTTTGAATGAGTGTGAACGCGAGTGACTTCCTAAGTGTTCAAAGCCGGGTCATACCTTGTGAGGTGATGAGGCCGTCACCCACCAGGAGATGAGTACTCCTGTCTCAAACGTCAGCATAATGTAATCTTTTCCAGTGTCAACCACCTACATCATCGTCTCATCACTGCGTTCATAAATGTATTGGTCCTTGATAACGACACTAGACAAGGCTACTGGGTCAAACACAAACAGCTGCTTGCTCTGAAGGATCCTGGTTAGCTTTTCGATGGTATGGTATCATGAGGATACCCTGGCATACACCGTATGATCCATGGATCTTGACGACGCCGTCATATTTTTCATTTAGGTCTTTGATGAAGTCCCAGCCATTGCGGTCGTATAGCTGTGGAATGTTACCTGCAGCACATTAGCGGAAGACAATGAGCGACGTGATGTCAAATCGTGAATAAATACCGTTGGCAAATGAGAGTGCGGGCGGGCCAGGAACATTATCCAGGGGTGACTTGAAAACCACTCGTACAAGAATGTGCCGCGAGATCCGCAGGATCAGATATATCAACACGAAGCCAAGTATGTAAAACATCGGCTTGTCTGTCGGGATGTGGGTACGACACTGCGCACAAGGATAAACTGGTCGAAACATCGCAAACAAGGAACACAATATATACAACAGTTGTAAATCCCGATCACGGCAAATAGAGGAGCAGAGAAGCACAAATATTCACACCGTTGTGAACATAGGCCGCCCGCTATGATACCTCCGCTGCATGTGGTTTAATCTGTCGTCGAGACCCTGTGGCTGCGGTGGCGCACCAGTCAGACCTACAATGTCATCGGAGAGGAGTGAGCCGACAACTTTGAAAGTTGTCAGCGTATGCTACAAGCACCACAAATATTGAAGCGCAATTCTCATCGGGCCTGCTATCCTGCTTCCTCTCGAACTTGGGGCGCGTGTCACCGTCAGCGAACGCCATTAGGGTAGGTAGAGATTCTGAGGTTGACTTCGAGTAGGTCTTAGCTGACATTCCGTACTAAATCTTGCGCCTCTGTCTGCGATCAAGGGTGTACAGTCAAGGATTGGACTTCATACAATTTTATTCCTAGAATGTATTATGTGGTGAAGCTTGAATGTCCTCACAGGCTCATCTGCGGGAGACGGAATTGTTCAGCTCCCAAAACTAATGGACAACCTGATTGATTATCGGATTATGCCGCACACCAGGCTCGGTCATCGACTGAGGCGCAAAGTCCAATTGAGATTTGCTCGAACGATCAAGCTTTCGAGGGACATTCACAGATCCCTCCGAGGCGCCATTGTGTGATCGGGGACAGTGTCGCGTACACTTCGGCCACTGGCCGAAGCTTGGAAATCAATGCGGAATCCGAGCTGAAACTTACTTGAGATCCGCCTTGGAATCTGCACTGCGCATGAGTACCTCGGTCCCCATAAAGATTCTAGATCGCTTTCGCGCTGGCTGTCGCAGTGACCGAGTAACAGCGAACAAGACCTCGAATGGGCAGTGCATGCAAGGCTTGATCTTTTGGTCCAGAGTCAGATTGAATAACGATTGAATAGCCCTTTGATCTTGCCAATTCAGAAATTGAACGAAGACTGAAGAAATTGGAAACAAAGGAAAGATTGTTTACATAATCGACTTATATCCAATCTTTCTTCCATTTTAGGCATCAAGGTACCAATCAGGCTGATTCACTTTTCTTTCAATATTTGTATAGTTTGGCCAGACAATCCTTGGCGCACTCGCATGTCGTGGAGGTAAGTAAGAGACAGTTGTAACTTGCAACCAGGGCTCACTTTCTAGGGAGGCTGGAATCTGATATCCGCAGCAGCTAAACCTTATGCCTATTCTCGAACAATGCGCGTGGCGCGAAGCCGCAGCGCCACAGGTAACAGCCGGTCCTTCTGACCTTACACCTCTACGCCCATGTCTTCAATGGCGCGCAGATACGAAGTCTATACAGGAGAGGATGACTATGAGGTGGTAAGCGGATTTGCGTATCACGATGAAGAAGTTACCATAGCGTCTGTCCCTCCATCTCTTATCTACTCGTAAGATACTGATCTGTGGGGCAGCGTCATGGGTGCCACTGGTTCCGGCAAGACTACTGTAAGCGATATACAAGAGGCATGTCTTGTCTACTGAATGAATGCAACTGCTGTAGTTCATCAACACCGTCAGTGGGTCTCACCTCGCGGTCGGCGACGGCCTGAAGTCCTGCACGAACAGTGTGGAACTGTCACAATCGTTCATGCTAGCCGGACGCACAGTCAGGCTGATAGACACACCCGGCTTCGACGATACCAATCTCTCAGACACAGACATTTTGGTCATGATCGGGGCGTCTCTGTCCAAGATGTGCGTATCCACCCACGCTCTCGGCTCTCGACATTGTTGCCTTAGAATCGTTGACGTCTGCGCACAGGTACGAAGAGGGCCACAAACTTAGTGGCGTCATATACATGCACCGCATATCCGACTTCAAGATGACCGGGATGTCCCGGCGAAATTTCTCCATGTTCCGGAAACTCTGTGGCGACGACACCCTTCGGAACGTGATCATCGTTACGAACATGTGGAGCGAAGTGAATGCGGAGCGCGGTCTCGCACGCGAGGATGAGCTCGCTACCGACGACATGTTCTTCAAGCCCGTCCTAGACAAGGGCGCGCGCATGATGCGCCACGACAACTCCTACCAAACCGCAGCAGATATCCTCAGCCAGCTCGTTCCTAACCGCCGTCAGACGCTATTGATCCAGCGGGAGCTGGTAGACGAAGACAAGGACATTGCCGAGACCACGGCTGGTGCGGAGCTCGCGCGGGACCTCGAAGAGCAGACGCGTAAATATCGCGAGACTGTTCGTCAGCTGGCGCTGGAGCATGAGGAGGCGCTTCTTGCAGAAGACATCGAGACGGTCAGAGAGCTCGAGGAAGAACGCCAACAGGCCGAGATCAAGGTCGAGACGATCGAGAAGAAGAAACGCGACTTTTCTGGCACATGGGCTGTACTGGCAACAGTCGCAACCAGCGTTGCTGCCGCTGGCCTCATGTACATGGCCACTGGACGCGTTTCGATATCCCGTAGTAGGTCTCCGTCTCCGTCGCTCAAGTAAGTGTCGTATGGCCAGCAGAATCGGTTCTGGATTGTCTCGGGTTATGTTTGGGCATCAGATCATGTCACGTACGAGGAAGAAATTCTTTTCTGTGTTGGAGTGTACAAGCCCTTATTCAAGATTTCAAGTACTGTACTACACCATGTATACGCAGAGTACAGCAGTCTATATAACGCACTAAGGTCTCATGGAACTCACGAAACGACTGTATGTCATGATTTACCACATGGCAAATTGACAGTCGAAAGGTACGAACTATGAAGGTTTTGGCGTAAGATCCAAAAACCAGAGCCACTACCCCAGTGGATTGGAGGTCCACAGCAACCGCGATGCACGGAATGACACGGCCGTAGAGGCAGTACTCGTCTCACACAGACAGACGCTACAATATGATAGAATTAGCGCATCACTAGCGTCCCGCGTATATTCGGTCATGTGGAAGTTCTAGCAGGATTGCCACATCTTGACGGAATCGACGACCATGGCGCGGTCCTCAACGTTCTGCGGCCATGTCGCCGACCACGTCGCCTGGGCCTGGGAAAAGTCGTGCATCGCCGCTGCGTCTCCACGTCAGTCACCGCAAGCTACGAAGTATTCTGAAGAGAAGCACGCACTGTCCGAAGCATCGAGCCAGGGCTTCCCTCCGACGCCGTCCGGGAACCACCCGTTCGTGCCGCCCACGGCGACATTCATGATCAGGTAGAACGGCTGGTCGAACGGCGCGACGTTGCGCGTGCCGTTCACCCACGGGTCCGGCATCGCGATGTACTGCGACCCGTTGAGGACCGTCTCGGGGAAGTCGCCGCGCGCGAAGAACGGCTCGTTGAAGGACAGCTCGAACATGTGGTGCAGGCGCGTGTCGACGTACATGCGGATGAACGTGGGCGTCCACTCAACTGCGTACGTGTGGAATCCGTCTGCGAACGTCGAGCGGCGGTTCGTCCACCAGCCGTACGTCTTTGCGACGCCGTTCAGGAAGCTGAGAGGGCCCCAGTTCAGCGACGAGCGCACGTAGTTGACGCCCCTGTTTCATCATATGAGCGTTTCGGCGCAGCAGAGTAAGGAGAGAGGCACGCACTGTGCGCTGTAGTCAACGCCGTTCCCGCGCGACTCCATGATGTCGATCTCGCCCGACGCCGGCCAGGGCCCGTACGTATCGTTCACAGGCAGCATCCACAGCGCTGGCCACAGCCAGTCTCCCTGGGGGAGCTTTGCAACAATCTCGACCTTGCCATATTTGATGCTATGGCTGTTGCGCGTCGTGATGCGCGCACTCATGGCGGGATTGATGACGGTGCCGGTGGTCAAATTGGACCTGACGCCGCAAGCGGTGCTGTTCGCGCTCGTGCAGCCAGTGATGTTGTACGTATAGCCGTTCATGACATTGTCGTGCCCGATGACGTTGGATGTCAAAGTGGGCGCGATGTAGAGCCTGCCGTCCTGGACGAAAGAGTTGTTGCTCGAGTCGGTCGTCATTTCAAATTCACCGTTGCTGCAGGATATCCCGATCCGATCAAATCGAGGGACGTGCTCGAAGCGGGAAACACGCACCCAAACCCGCCCATCTGGACTTCTCGCGTCCAGGTGTTCTCGAGGTCGAAGGTGTTGAAGTCGTCTTGCATCACGAGGCAGAGGTTGCCAACGCGGGGAACTTCCTTCCAGCCAAAGTAGCACCGCACTGCCCCGCCGGCGATGCCTAGGAAGGCGACTACCCAAGTGACCCAGTATGACACGCGGGAGTACGTGTCCTTCTCCCCGATCCAGGGCTTCTCCAGAGGGCCGGTGAGCATAGTAGATCGAGCGCGTTTGACGGACACGCGGACGTTTACTTCGTCATTCCCATACGGCGTAGTACGCTTTGGGAAGGCGGGCGGGGGCGTGAACGACCCGCGGTTCTGTGCGTCAAAGTTTCGAAGCAAGGAGGGTGAGGTGCTATGGCTGACGCCACTGTCCAAGGACATGATGGAACGGCGCATTGCGAGCAGCTGATCGCGGGAAGGGGGACTACTAGCGTGGCCGCCTAACGGTACGGAATGCAGTGTCTCGATACCTGGAAGGGATCGGTTCGCGCTGAATCCAGCGACGCTGGTGGGCTGAGACTCGGAGAAGAATTCAGCGATGACTTCCTGAGATGTATTAGCACTAGACCCCTCTGGGTCGCCGAAAGGGTCGCCACCCCTTCCCCCTACAACTCTTACGGCATGCTGAGTTCCGGGCACGTTCCTCTGTCCCACTGGGTTTGTCGGCGTGTGACGAGAGCGGGACATCCTTTGCGATACAGATAAAGAGCGACGGAGGAAAGGAGAGTGGGATGCTGGGCAGTCCTATAGAGGGACCATGCGATTCGCGACAGCTCTGCAGGTATAAGTATGGACAGGGGGGAAGAGTGCTTCTTGTAGCGTCACGCAAGAGTCCAGACAGCCCGCACTGACTATCCGGAGAGTCATCTCATTGAGCTTCCGCCACCGGCGATACCTATTGACACTCCAGGGATGGATGCTAGCATTGGCTTGGCAGAGTGTGGCGTCAGGCAGGTAGTCAGCCACGATCGCGGACGTCGAGCCGTCCGGTCAGGACAATCACCGCTCGCTCCGTACCTTCGGGCAGCAACAAGGGACAGCCGCCCATCGACACGCACCCGCGTCCTCGACACTGCAGTGAGCGACCGAAGTGCATTACCACCAGACCTGCCTGTTTGCGGTATCTTGGGTCTAACTTGGCCGGGAGTATTGACCTGCGATGTCTGCGGAGGAGTCAAGCTCCGGCTGGGACGGACTGAGGCAGCACAAAAGCGTTGTCAGTGTCAGTCGCGATTACATGATCTATCTAGAAGGAAGCTGAATGGAAGCTGAATCTGGCAAGGGACGCTCCTTGATGCAGGAACCGGCGCCCACGAGTCAATCGGAAACGCCTTGTTGACATCGCTAGCGCATGATAAGGACAGTAGTTGTACTTCCAAAATTTCTGAGAACGTGCTTACCAGCGCAAATTTCTGAAAAAGCATAATCTCCGAGGAGGAGATCAGGTATGGCCGCATCAGTTAAACCCCACATTCCCTGCACAGCCTTAATCTTGTCTTGGCCTCTGGAATCAAAAACGGCCTTACCTTTGCTCTTTAATTAAGCTAAAAATTACCTCACTTCTTGAATCAAGGAACATTCAGCACGGTAAGTTGCTCAAGGAAAGTCGGGGTTTCACTGATGACTGCCAAGCTACAAGACCACAAAGTGGAGCTCGGAAGCAAGATGGAGAGATTGAGATCTTCTCACGGATTTGATGGATCTACGCTACGCTCGCACGCTCAGACACAGCCACGATGAAAGGCCGTGAGTATTTACTAATAGTATTCACCTCTCATCATATGGGTGGTGCTGATGAAGTGCGTCGGTTTTGCCAACGGAAATGCGAAGACCACTGCCTGAAGCCCAAGGAACTTGGACTGCCACTTTGTCAAAAGTACGAAGCACAAAGATGGAAACCCAGTGTTCCGACTCACCACCTAGTCGGGCAGTACAGTTTCCAAATCCGAATCAATACAATCAACCTCGAGACATCCGACATCTCGACAGCGGAGACGAGCCGGAAACACGGCGCAGACAGCATTCGCTGACCTGTCTCGGTCTTCCACGTCGTCGCCGTGACGGAGAGCAGCGTTGTAAGCCGTGTGGCATAGCATCTGGTGCCAGTGCCTGATCGCGTCGCTTGGCCCTGATCCAGAAGCGACCCGCCAAGCGCAATTGAGCCAATTTGGGCCCGAGACCCTTGCGAACATTTGTTCTCCGTGCGTTGTGCGGAAATCGGTGTATTTGTGTGCGCTGATGTGTGGTCGCAGTCATCTTTCCGCCGAGCCAGGGACGCACACAGCGCCTTTGTCAGATCCTATGCCGCTTCCACTCGAACATGCCCCCGCCAGGGCTCAACAAGTATCGGGTGGCGCATATATAGAATGGCATCTGGCGGTCGTCGAAGGCGACCGCGCCTTGAACCACAAGCGAGCGCGAGCCCGTGCCATTCCTTTTGTCTGCTTTGGGGTCTCCGCTAATCGCCATGGACTACGACGCATACGATGCCCTGCTTCACCACATCTTCAAGCAAGTAAGCAGTACTTTGTTCATGTCCCATCTTCGTCGCTGATTCGGGCTTGATGCCGCGCAGACCCAGGGAGACGCGTGGTTCAAACCCTCCGCGGAGAACGTCCACGCAGGCGTCTGCTTGCGAGTCGATTCTGGTCGCTTTCGCGTCTTCCCATACGAGAACCTGCACCTCGAACCGTTTGAGGCTGCCGTCAGAGCGCTCAACCCCGTCGTCGCTGTCAAGATCCGCAGCGCTGCCATTCACGCCGCGCTCTCCACAACGTATGAACCCGTCTGTAACGTTGGTCGTCGACTGACGTGTGTTTATATTCTGAGCACAGTCAGCTGGATGCAGACGCCATCTTTGTCGATGTGGATACTCGTATCCAGATCTTGGATTCGATTGCATTCCTGTCACGTGCAGACAGGGAACAGTGTGCTGCCTTCATCGTACGTGGAATCATGGTCTATCATATCATATCTCACTATTCTGACTCCCGTCGTACAGCGTGACGAGCGCGTCCTCGTGGTCTGGTCTTACTCCCTCGACAACATCATCTCAACATGCCGCGACTTTGACGAGAAGTTGATTCAGCTCGCCTGGAAGCACCGGTCCGCCTTCACCTCGCTCGCCAGCTCGGCGGTGGCGTCTGCCAATGCATCTCACACTAACCTCAACGACTGGTCGAGGCAGCCTGCGATCAACGAGAAGGAGGTCGCAGCGCTCGCCAAGGAGAAGGAGCTCCAGCCGAAGAGGAAGAGGAGCTGCAGGCTCGGCTACTTTGTGTCGGACAAGAACGACGTGGAGAAGACGGCGCATGGTCCTTCGCATCGGCCCGTCCGCCTGTTTGCACCCTTCTACTCTGGCCTTGCTGCGGCACTTTCTACTTGTACGCCGTCATCATAAGGCCTTATGACTGTTGTACTGACGTCCGGCTCGTAGTCTTCATTGCCAGCGGTGTCAGTGTCATGATCCAGGAGACCGTGCTTGACGACACCTACACTCGCTTTGTGCTCCTTGCAACCACCCCGCTGCTGTTCTGTGTCTCGCTAGTATGTGCCTGTCCATCCTTCAAAGCATCAAAGCATTTATGTAGTGTCCATACGATGTGCAGTTCTTCTCGCTGCAGATCGTCACTAATGTTTCCTATGTGTGCGTGCGCCCTCTCGTGCGTGTTGCTATGCATTCGCTCATGATCTGCCCGCAGACTCGGTCCTGTGGCGCAGTTCCATGAGAACTCGAAGTACTACTCGGCTATTCCTCCCGCACCAAATAAGGACGTCGATGCGAATCTGCCACATATCACCATCGAACTCCCGGTGTACAAGGAAAGTCTGAATGAGGTTATGTACGTTTCATTCACATCCATACGTTGTGTGTCCAGGCTGACGACGCTTCATCACCCGCGACGCCAGTGCGCCATCGGTGTACTCCCTCAAGAAGGCAATGCAGACATACGCCCGCCAGGGCGGCACCTCCGCTATCTTCGTCCACGACGACGGTCTACAGCTTCTTCCCGAATCGGACCGTGTGGCGCGCATCGCGTTCTACGCAGACAACAATATCGGATGGGTGGCACGTCCTGCGCACGACAACGCGCCCGATGGCTTCAAGCGCGCGGGTCGGTTTAAGAAGGCATCGAACATGAACTACGGGCTCGCGCTGTCGCTCAAGCTCGAGAAGCACCTCCTAGCACTCGAAGCGGAGGCAGCGTCGCGCGGCGGCGAGGATGCGCTCACGGAGGACGGCGAGTGTCTGGAGGACAAGGCAATGAACAAGGCCATCGAGGAGACCTTCGAGGAGAGTGGGCACCGCTGGCGGCCGTGGGCGCGCAACGGCAGGTCGCTGCGCGTCGGCGAGATCATCCTGATCGTCGACTCGGACACGGTCGTGCCTGAGGACTGCCTGCGCGACGCGGCGCGCGAGCTGTACGAGTCGCCCGAGGTAGCGATCATCCAGCACGAGTCGGACGTGATGCAGGTAGCGCACCACTACTTCGAGAACGGGATCGCGCACTTCACGCGGCGGATCAACAAGTGCATCTCGATGGGGTGTGCGAATGGGGAGGTTGCGCCATTTGTGGGGCACAATGCGTTCCTGCGGTGGTCTGCGCTACAGGATGCGGCGTTCGTCGATGCTG